TTTCTAGGGTCGACGAGATAAATGCACTCATAAATATAGTTAAAAAATATCATTAGATAGCTCCTCGATCTTTTGGTTCAATAGAAGCATCATTTTCTGCCCTTTACGCTTAATATGTTATCGTAACTAATACTAATTAATCTGAATTTTTTCTTCTTTATAACATCAACATTACAAAACGTTCTTAGCTTATAGATAACTACAAAAGACTGTAGCTAAAGAAAGTTTCGTCAGATTTAAAATATGAGACGTTGTCCGTCCTATAGTCTCAACGTATCAATGAACCGTGTCCAACGTGATACGCAAGTGCGATAGAGAGAGTTGCCTCGAGTAAAATACGGGGAACTGCTCTCGTGAACCTTAAGAGACAGCCAAGACGATTATTATTCCCTCGTTCAAGGGGTCGAGTGACTCAGTCTCCTCTTCTAATCTGATTAATTGAAGCAGCCTAATTTCTGTATCAAATGTGCGGTTAAATATGTGACATGTACTAGAAATAAACAAATTAATATGAATTATTAGAACTCTATACGATATATATCTTTTTCTTCAAGCATTATGTTTAAAAGAATGTATATATATATATATATATATATGTATATAGAATATATACATAGAAATATTTTTTATATCTAATTTATAGATAAAAATCAATATATACTTGCTCATCAAAAATGAGAGCTCAGTTACAAAGAAAGAACAAAAGTAATAGGTTAATGATAACCGAAAGAATGATATGCAGCAAAATAAAATACTTTTCATTTAGATAAACAAAAACTTGTTTAATTTTACTATTAAAATTCATCAATATAGTAAAAGATGATTAATCATTGACTATAAGAATGAGAGAGATTTAGGGATTAAAGGGCAGTAAAAATAAAAGACTTGATAAATAACCGACGCTTTCTTTAAAAGCCGCGTTATGCCAGTGGAATTTCGATTCATCAGTGAATGGACCCCCTGTTTTACGTCTTCACTTTTAGAAAACTATGAGATCCAGGATAAACGGACAATAAAAATGTTGAAAGTCTTTCACAGACGAATATTACTTCACAGATAAAAAAATCCTTTCCAGTTTAATTAATTACATTATTGTAAATTTAATAATTATTATTATTAATAACAGATTCTTATTTAAAACTGTTGAGAATTATCCTGTTGAGTAATATAAATCTTTATAATAATATATATAATTTAATTTAAAAAATAGAGAGAGACAAACACACGCAGAACATAAGAGATGTTAAAAATATAATTTAATGTTTAGCCACGGAACATGCTTTGGTACATTCTGCGCGATAATTAGAAAAAATATGATCTTATAATTGTAAAAAGCTTTTTGCTGATTTCGTTGGCATGATAACCATCGCCACGTGGATACAGAAAATCTCTCGCTACAAGCGATGCTGTCTTAGAGACGCGCCTGCGCCGGGTATGAATGGTCGCGATGGTCGGGTATCCTCGAGAAATATTTGAATGTCTGCTCAGTTCCATCGCGCCTTACGCTAGAGATCGGTTTTACCCTTGTCAACTCCCGTATACTTTTTTTTTTAATTTTTCGTCTACGTGAGTTTAATCTCGAATGTAAAAAAAATAGTATCTCTCTCCCTTTTGTGCCTTTATTAAAAAATATTTTTTATACTTTTTTATATATGATGAAAAGTGTTATTTATATCAAATTTAAAATTCTTACACTTAATTTAATTTATATTTTTAACATAAACATTTCAACGAATCCATTATTGAGTGATCATTAACTTCAACTGTGGATACTTCTTTTTAGTGGTTCAAAATGAATGGATAGAGTCGAAAAGTGCATAGATTTTAAAAGTAAAAATGAGGATAAAAGCGGAAGATTATTACGCCAAACGAAGCGCCGAATATTTCGGTAATTATCTTCCGATATTATTCCATTTTTTTAGTCGTGATGATAACTTTAAGTGCTTAATTTAAGGGAAAGAATATAACAAATCCATTTCTAAAAAAAATTGATTCAGAAATTGCTATTACAAATAAATAAAAATGATGAAATATTATTATATACAAATTTTGAAAAACATTTTACATATTGCACAATTGATATTTATGACGATAAAGATATAGAATATTGTTTCTTCGTGACGCACACGTGTTTGTATCTTTCACAAATTCTTTATGAGGACGTCAGCTATCGCATCCCGATGCATCCAATGCAGGATACGTGATATGTTAATGAAATGCAAAACTAACCGCGTGTGAGTCGAATACAGATGAGATTGAAGTAGCATCAGATTTATTCAAACTATTTGTCTTTGTTCAAAACTTACCGTACTCTTGTACTTTAGTCTTAAAATTAATTTAATTATTTATTAAATTATTTCCCTCTCTTAACATAAAATTTGTAGATACAATATATAACATAAAACCTTGAAAATTAAATAAAATATTTAGTTTCTATTGGAGTTAAAATTTTCAAAATTTGTAAATTTAATACTGGTTTTCCATTCAAAAAATATTAATATAAGTTATATATAATAATTAATAATAATAAATATATATATTCATTTTTATACCTAAAATTTTAATTTTTTTTATTGAAAAAAAAAAATTTTTATTTTTTCATATTTAATATAAATAAGATTAAATTAAAAATAAGAAAAAATAAACCTTTTTACAAAAATAGATTATTTATACTATAATATTGTAATTAAAAATCTTACTTCAAAATATTTTCTGATTATACCACAAAGAATCTAAACCAATAATAAACTATATTTTTAACAAATAACCAAAACAAATGGATTATATTGGCAAAGATAATGATGATTTAATTCAATCTATCATCACATATTTAGCCTATAGTTGTATAATACCGTCATTGTTTGATGTAGTCAGCGTAGAAACGGACGGTTCGGATGGAGAATTCGAAACTTAACATGCACCATGCATACAGAAAAAATTATAGGCATCGCCTAATTCGTCTTGCCGAAGCCGAGCATGAAAACAATGTGTGCGGGGTGGGGCCCCTCGAAATAAACGGTACGGTTTCCTCTCCAGAGTGACTTCGAGCAGTCGTAGTTCGACATTCACGGGATCGTCTTCGTTAAAAATTGTCCTCGATTAGAAAAGGCAAAGATTTAAAAAAAAAATGTTATCAAAGTTCATGAAAGAATCGTACAACTGCCGATGACAATCGTGATTACGAATAGAAGATTGGAATTTAGACTCTGTTAAAACAGAGGGTGTGACAAGAAACGGGGGTAGTGAGAGTTTTTCAACAACTTGTCTTTTAAATCGAGAGTGTTTACAAGAAACAATGGTCGATATCTGTGCTAGTCCTCGACTACAAAGACGAAACCGGCCAAACTTTTTAGATTTTTCCGCAATAACACGTAAGTCGGAGTAAGAGAACGTAAATTCTCGAAAATATGCGAATTAAAATGCAAATGCATTGCGTACATCAAGTTGCAAAAGAGCGAATCATTGTGTCTTGGTGTAATCTGACGTGCGCCTGTTCGAGTGCGTTGATCTTTTTGCAGTAATTATCATCATTCAGGAGCAACCCGCGACCCACGTGCGTTACAAATCGACTGTATCTCCCGCGATATTATCATCATGGTTGCCAAGCACTACTGACAGTTAAAATTCAAATAAAATCCACAAAACACGACTCATAATAATAATTATAATAATACAGAATGTAACCTAATAATTAAAAATAAAAATATATATATTTAATATAAAATATTTCAATGAAAAATTTGAAGAATAAGTTTGAAATTGTTTTAAGATTATTTTTTATTACAATGAAAATAAGAAAAATACTAAAACTTTTATTTTAAAAAAACATAAATAATATAAGTTTCTGGTAAATATGAATAAATAAGACAAAAAGAACGCGAGTACAAAAAATGTTAAAGGAAATAGCATTAACACCGTCAATTAAGTAATTAAAATTCTATGTAGAGACTATGTGACATACATAAAATTTACTTTGAGTCTAAAATGAGTTTAACTTGGCCTCGCGAGTAATAAATCCAATTTAAAACCGGAAACACCGAAAACGGAAGCCACGCGCCTCACATAGCGGGAGTAAAAGTTGTTGCGACAGTTCGTCGCGACAGTAGAATAAAGACTATAGAACTTTTTTTTCATTCATCACTATTATGAAACATCTATTAAATAACTGTAAACTTTTATTTATTATTTTATAGAATTTTTTTTTAATATGCAAGAAACTAAAAAGACACTTTTAATAATTATTTTCTTTGTTTGATCTAAAATTAATTTCTTTTAATCTTTTCTTAAAATATTTTTTCAATTCTATATGTATATCAGAATATTTTTCTAACAAAAATATTGTAATTACATAAAAAAATGACATGTATATAAATATTAATATAAATCAGATTATCTGCTTCTACCGACATTCAATTAGAGATTATCATTTAAATTTATTCGACTGATTTAAGTCACCAGTTGCACGATGTGCTGATTCCGCATTAGAATTTTATGAAACCGTTTCATCATTTTGTAGTCATTATTTTCACATATAACACGAGGTAGCCGCGTGGTATTATTTCACCCACATTGTATTACAACCATGTTGCGTGTTCTATGATGTGCGTCACAGAAAATTAAATGCATTCCCGTGTGTCACGACAAAGCTCAATCAAGGTTGCTTGTGACACATGTATACATTTTGAAAATTAAAGAACTGTCAACTAGGGCAGCAAATTAACACGTAAAAAAATCCGGAAAAATCATTAATTGATCTGCTGTAAATAAATATTAAATAAAATTAGCCAAATAAATTGCATAATTCAACCTCAATATTATTTTAATACTATTGTTTACAATAAAACTATCCAATAATTTTTCTGCTTTCAAAAAAATATGTTATCATCTGTGTTTTGTTTTTATCTAAAATTATTTGTGAACTTTCTTGTATGTCCCCATACGAGAAGCAATCTTATAGATACTTGAGTCAATTAATTTGATGTTTCAATTGCTTGTTTCAGGGTCGCATTCAGCTACAGTCTTATCAAGAGACGGACATGCAGAGGACGATGTCGTTTTCGTCTCTAGCAAGGAAAGCGAGGCTTCTAATTTATGGGTTAACTACCTCACCGCATGTTTCGAGCAAATCAGCCGTCAACAAGGACGACCGCCGTTCAAGTAAGTATAAAGCGAAATGTTTTTTTATTTTTGTGCTAATTTCGAATAAAATTTCAACTAAAACCATTTCTCAGAGTACGTCACATCGCGATTGAGGAACCGATAGCACCGAAAACAGAAGACAAGATTCGATCTTCTCGCCTTCAGATCGTTGTCGTGTGCCCGGTATTGCTAGAACGCGTTCGAACCAATCCAGAGCACGCCGTTCATCTGACAAACCATCTGGTCCCCGAAAAAGTACTAGCAATGATGTTGGGTGTTCATGACAGTCACATCAATGACACTTATAAATCCAGTTTAGTTTCCTGTGATCAGTGGAGAAAGTTTTTCGTAAAAGACCAGGACGAGACATTCGTCGGGGAATTATTGGGTGCAGCGGTTGCTATTTTAGGTACTATGCCACCGGCAGCCCTCAGAAACGACAAAACTGTATTTTCCGTGCATCCAAAAAAGGTCAAAATGGTAAGTTTAATTTTACCATATGTTTATAGAAAAACATTCTAAAATGTTCTAGGATTGCAGAAGGCACATGCAGTGCTGCCAGTCGGGTCGGGTTCCCCCTCCAGTGCCTTCCACAAACCAGGCAGTATTCCACAAACACAGGAAATATTTAATATTTAAATCTTAATTTTTAAATCTTAAATCTAAATTTTTTAAAATATAGATTAAAGATTCAATTTTAAAATAGTGCATTGCCGGTTTATGGAAGGTACTGGAAGGGGAACCCGGCCCGACTGGCAGCACTGGGCACATGTATAAGAATATAGCAATCGCAAGAAAGATCATTATGGTTAAAGGACACTCCTTTTGAGATATATTCGCTTCATATAAATAACTATAAAAGAAAAAATAAAAATAAAAAAAATAATAACGCTAAAAAAAAACACATAACGTTAAAAAATAATAACGTTCGAATAATTAGGGACAATATCGACTTTACATATTTGTACATTGTATCATTTGCTCATAGAACATATGATTAAATAAAACTTTGCATGAAAAACGCTGGAACAATGTAAAATAAAAAAATATGTGCACTGTATTCGCAGGGACAGAATAGGATAATCGTTTTATTAAACGATCCGTTGAGTCCCAGAGATAACGTCTCTGTAGTTGTTGATCGTTGCGGCGACGCAATCGACATTAGCAACGTAAAAAGAAGAAATCCTTACGCGCTACAATTTTCGATACCAGAAAAATGTCTCGAAGTCTCTATGTTGGTCGGCGTAAGAATAAGCAAGAATGGATGTTCGCTCGGAGTTAGACAAGTCAAATGCGAAAGTAGGCTCAGGGAATTAGATCAGATTCTCAGAGCGCACGATAATCCTCTTGAATTTATGTGCCAGGTAATTTGATTCAAAGATTTTCTCCGAAAATTGATTTAATTTAATATTGCATTTTAACGATAATCTGTAAACTCAGTTATTTTATTTAAAAAATAACAGCTTTTAGTTCCGCTACTTTATTATTTTTGTAAATAAACGAACAACAAAACTTTAAAATATTTAATTTACTATTGTCTCTTTTCTATCTATTATAGACTTTCGGCTTCAGTTCTACTGACCGAGAAAAGTTTGACAATTGGATGGTCCATGCATTTCAAAAAAATATGCCTCCTCATTTCAATCTTTTATCCACCCCGAACGGTATAGTGCCCACCCATAAAAGTTGTACGAGTAAGTAGCCTCTATACTTAAATAAAGATTATATATATTCGATAGATTATTATATATATATTCGATGTTATTATCCAACGCTTTTTATAATTTTATTAATTTTCAATTTGTGTGTTAATTTTTAATTTATATATGGATTTGTTAGTACATTAGCATTGATTCAATTTATTTGATTGTAATTATAGATGTTTGACTCTTATTACCCTTTTACTTTTTCATTATCTTTTCATTTTGAATACTAAGAGTCCTGTATTTATATATTTATTATAATTATATTCAATAAAGTGTGAATCATTAAATTATTATCGGATATCATTAAATTAGATAATAATCTTGAAAGTTATATCAGAATAATTATATTCGATAGAATTTTATTTTACTGATAACATACATTTTTTATTGTTATTTTACGTAATACATAGAAGATGAAAATATAAAATGGTGTGCGAATTTTTTGAGATAACGGTCTCTTTAAGCGATCACAATTCGAAAAAAAAAGAAAGGGTTTTTCGGGTTTGTTCTAGGTCCAGAAGAAAATCCGACATTGTTACATTTTGCTGCGCGATTTGGCTTGGAAAAACTAGCATGGCAATTATTGGAGTGTCCTGGTGGCGATCTGGCATGCGATTTGAAAAATATTTCCGAGCTGACACCAGCTGATCTTGCTGAGCAAACTGGACACGCGAGACTGGCCCATCAACTACGGGGCTACATGGTACAAAAACCTCACCTTTAGGTCGAAAACATGGTCTAATAATCGAAAACAATCGGTACTATCGCGATATTTTATTCTTTTCTCAAGGCATCCACTTTATAAATTTTCAAAAGTAGGATGCGCACTTAAAAAAAATCAAATTTTATTTAATTAATACTAAAATAAAAGTTGCTTCTCATTTATTTCTTTATTTAATCTCTAAAAGTTCAAGTATTTATCTTGTTGTAATAACAAGATTTTGACAAGTTCTTGAATCTTTATTTGGAAATTAAATGAAAAAGATGTAAAAAGTAAATTTTATTTTGATGTATTAAATAGAAATTATCGTTTCTTTTTTGAAGTCTACCTTGCTTTTCTAGGAACTTTTTTCACTTATTTCAAAGCAGAAATATTTCGGAGAAAAAATCGCGCGAATTTGCATGTCAATTTAATACTCTTCGAACAATAAATAGTCGATGAGTTAAATTAATGAATTAATTCTACATTGCATGTTTCAATCGCGACTTTGGAATCCCCTGGGCAAAACTTCAGCAAATGAACGAGTTCACCAACATGTATAGCTACCTCAAAGTTATGAGTCAGACGAATCGATCAGCAGGTATTAAGAGACATATCGCTACAACAATATATTACAAAGACACAATAATTCTACTGCTTCTTAAGAATTTTGAAGTTTTCTTCAACTAGGCTATTTAAAATTTGCATTAAGATTTTATGTATAATACACAGATTATTTGATGTAAACAGAAAGATATAATTTTACATTGAAGAAGAAATTGAAAACCATGAAATAAAATTTTTGTAGACAAAGATCCATTTTCAAACTTGTAAATTAAAAAATTAATAAGAATTAACTGTTACTTCAAATTCGTACAACTTTCAATAATATTACACGTTATAAATACCTCATAAATTAAAAAAACATGTTCTATACCTTTTATATGACTTTTTACACAAAATATCTCTCTTATACGAAAAATATTATTGATTCATCCTATATTTAAGATGTTCAGAAAAATTTTTTTTTTTAAGTTGGTCTCAATTATCTTAAGAGAAACTCGAGAATAATGTAAATGTGTGTATTTAGAAACAAATTCAACTACCGATGTCTCGTCAACGACGGTCACAAACGAAATCAATAATGAAAAAGAAGATTATTGTCGACCAAGACCTTTAAGCGAGGCTTATTCAGTACCACCGATCGCAAGGCCGGTAACAATTCTACTCCCAAGTCTGCAAACAGCAAGTATCTCTAATACGACCACAAATCCCTTAGCCGCAAATTATTCGATCGTACCGACGCCCACGTTAGTAATTAATAACCAGCTGCCGTCCACACCCACATCCACGACCTCAGTCACGTCAAACGGATTGAATACGTCTTTCCAAGACTACATGAAAATGCATGCCGCTGGTAAATACTCTAAATTATTGTACATATAATTCACAGGCAATTATTATATAATAACTATATATATAATTTATAGATTCTTCTTTTATCACGAACTCTCTTCATTATAACGTAATTGGCAAGTATTTAAACATTATATTTAAATACTAATGTATTTAACAAATGTACTAACTTTCATTTATCAGTGTTACATTCCCCTTCCCCCCCCCTCTCTCCCCCTCTCTTTCTCTCTCCCCCTCTCTCTCTATATGTAATTAATAAAAATCCAATATTACATAAAATTAGAACAATTATTTTGTTTCCATTTTTATCTAATCACTTTCAAAAGTAAATATATGAAATTATAATTAAAGGTCCGAAAACAATTACAACGAATACAACGAATTATCAGCCATCTCGAGCAGATACATCTATTCGCCAAGAATGTCCTCAAGAAAGTTACTCGGGAATACGAGAGGATAATTACGGTCAGAAAATATGTCAGAATCTTTCCTACGGCAGAACATCTTCCAACAGTAGTACCAAATCCAGAGAACCGTCAGGCCCTCAAGACGAGCTTCTAGAGATTATAAACGATTTCAAAAACAATGTCTTTACGATATCCGAAGTGGAGAGGCTCGTCGAAAATTGGCAGAAGCGAAATGACGTTCAGCAAAGTTTTAAGGACAAGCAACGACAGCTTATGGCAATGCGAGAGGAATACGATAAAATACAAAAAAGAATGAAAGAAGAGATGAAGACCCCGACGCCTTTCGATAAGATACGAAAGTTCTTTTCCAAGGGAAAGAAAGGTTACTTTTAGAATATCCTTAGAATTTATAATCGATTTCTGAAACAAAATAACTGAAAAATTGTTCATCTAATTTTTATTATAGAGACAAAGGAGTCTGCTGGAGTTGCCTCCGATTCTTCTACAAGCAAATCTGAAAGTATTAACGGCGGATTAGCTGATCGCAGGCCTGTCAGCAGTTTAAGTCTTCGTAGCGTCTCCAGTAAGTAAATACAACATAATTAATTAATACATTATCTAATTATTTAATAGATTATATTAAATAATAATTCAGAATATCCTTAAAAGCATTTTTAAGATAAGCTCTAAAGTTCTAAAAGGGCTTTACAAAATATTTAGAAAATAATTTAGATTTAAATGTTATTTAAAAGTCTTTTAAATATTTTTTACAATATTGTTATACATAAATAATTGAATACTTTGTGCTTTATATAATTCTATAAAATTGCTTAGGTTCATCATCATCTGGTAGAATGAGCACTGTCAGCGGTTGCAGCGGTGCAAGCTTGGGCGACAGTGGAACTCATTCCGATTCCGAAGACAGAAGAGTACGTGAAATATTACAAATAAGACATAAACATTTTAGCTAAATAATTATTAATCAACAGTGTTAAAATATAAAAGTTGCGACAGTGGCAATTCGGTGAAAACAGTAATATATTTCGAATATACAAATTTCAGATATCATACGTTAGAGTCGTGATTATTACATTACCTTCTTACATTATATGCAACCAACATTCAATACAATCAGTATTCTTAATTAATAATGCGTCTACAGAAATCGGGATGATGAGCTCACCATGTCTATCTAACAAAAGCTAATCACACACAAAAGAAAGTGCTGTTGCTATGTTCTAAACAAATTACCTTTTGTTTCATGTTTGCAAACTTCTGCTTATAGAACATAACATAACTCTAGTAACGCTAGTAACTTCTACAAAAATATTTAAAGAACACGGTTTAAATTACACAAACAGTATTTAAAAAAATGAAAATCACTAAGTCGCATGTTTTAAGTTTTACTTTTTAGTCCAAAAATTCTATTTTCTCTATAGCCATATTAATTATTAAAAATAAAATTCAATTTCTCTCCCTCTCCTCCCCCCCCCCACTCTCTCTCTCTCTCTCTCTTTCTCTCTCTTTCTCATCCAAAAAATCGGATATTAATTTTATGTTTGGAAAGAATATAATCTTCAGAGAAGATATACGTATTGAAGAAAATATAAAATAACAATAAGTTTATGTTTTTATTTTATTAAGTTAAATTTAAAATTTATTTTTACCTCCAGAATGTCAGGGATGAAAAAACTGGCATAACATCCTACGAAATACCACCTGCGCCTAAACCCTTCACAGGCAGATACTCACCGGCATCTGGGTATTCCCCATCACCGAGTCTCTCTATCGCGTGTGACCTCGAACTCCGACAGACACAGTCACCGTCCAGAGTCAACGATAATGAGTATTACATTGCATTTCCACCGTCGGGATTACCTGTTCATGGTAAATAAAATCTAATATTCTCAATATTCTCATTTCTATTTATTTCAAGCATCATATCCCGAAAAATTCTAAACAGTATAATAATTAAAGAAGAATATTTAAAAACTAGGTATAGTGTTCAAATGTGTCAACATTATCTTTTAATATCCTTTAGCTGTTAAAAGTACATCTAGTTTTTAAAGCAACATTTATAGAAGTACCTAAAATCTCAAAAATAAATAATTTTCAATTCAACTTTCACAAGCGTTTAAAACGGATGGCTCTCCGAGGGAACCGAGTACGCCAAGTTCACCATGCGATCATCCAATGAATAATAATCACGACTTCGTCCAAAATGTCGCCGTCTCATCGGATAAACGCCAAGAAGAAATTGAAGTGACGAAACTTGCTAGCAACAATAGCTATACGAACATCGATCCGGTGGCATCGATTTCCACTCCAATCGCGCCGCCAGGAATGTGCATCCCAGACTACACTAGCAACGAATCGACGTCCAACGATTCCGTTCATATGGATCGGGAAGTCGTGGAAGAACACATTGATGATATCGCCAAGGCGTGTCCCAATACTGCGAAAATGAAGTCACCGTTCACTCAATCTACCGTTGACGAGGTCGACTCTGCGCTCGCTGTTCGAGGTCAAGAGACCGCAGGGACAATACGCGATGAGGAGCACGTGCCGACAGACTCGGCGAACATTTTGAAAAACATAAATGAGGTCACCGAGATTAAAATGCCAGAATATATGAACCTTGCTATTAATATGAGTCACGATGCTGCCAAGGTTCTCGGCGCCATACCAAAGAAGTTGCCTGCACCACCCGTGCCACCGCGAGGTACAACCTTTCATACTGTATAATTTCACGTGACTTTTTTTATAATACGAAGACAAAACTCATCGCGTTAATGATCAACAAAAATATATAAAGATAAAAATGTAAACCCTTATATAACAACATTATTTTGTTTTGTTATATTTTCCAAATTTTTCTTGTTTTATTCTTGCAACGAAAGAAATCGCAAATTTTATTGTAAATAAAATTTGTAACAAAACTCAATAAATAATTGCGCATTAACATATATAGTTATTATGTATAAATTAAATTAATTAAGCTCTTTTTCTAAACTGATATTTCTATTCAATCTAAGATTCGCATATTTAGATAAGCTTTAAATCTCGTGAAATATGTAAAATAAATTACTGACACTGCAACAGATTTCAATGCAGTTCTTTAAGAATTATTTCTTGCAAGTTAAAGATCAAGAAAAAAGATTACAGAAATTTCTGATGAGTCGTAATTGAAAAAGATATCAGTGAGTCATACGGATATAACTGTGAGAGAAAAGTCCTTATTTAGTGATTTTATCTTCAAAGCATTCGGAAAATTGCAGAGTTATTTATATCACACATTAACAAATGGACTAATCATTTGTTAGAATATGAATTATATTAATTTTCCTAATACTATAACATACAATGCACAATTTTGTGATTTTAAAAAACAACGAGTAAAAAAGTTATACATTTAAATTAAAATGTATAAACATACACGTAATAATCTCAACGTAAAAAGTTATCTATAATTAAAATAGAGAATATATATACAAAAATAAATATAATTACATATGTACTCAAATTTATAATAATAGATCATTTTATCCGGATTTATTAAATCCGTTTTCGATGAATTTTTACTACTTATTGTATTATTGTATTTTATTACTTATTGTATAACAAAGAAGTAAAAATAAGAAATTTTTAAATGTATATAAATATTTTTATTGATATGTTTTTATGAACATTATATGTCATGTCGTTTATGCCTAAGACATAACGATAGAAATAATAATAATATTAATAATAATATACATTGAAAAGGGCATTATAAGAGTCAACTGACTGCCCCTTTTCAATGTGTATTATTATTATTTTTACATAAAGAGTCTTTCTAATTTTGGTTATAATAATAATAGATATTAATTTAATTAATATAAAATTTTTAAATGACTTATAATACTCGCAATAATTATATGTGACATAATATATGTATGTATCTACACGGAAAGAACAATTAAATCTAAAAATTTTGCTAAATACAGATCTGAAAATAATTTTATTATATTATCAAAATAATTACATAGAACATTTAAAAGTTGATAATAATGCTGTAAAAAGATTTAACATTCTCAGTAATCAGTTTGAACATTCTATATATGTATAATTATTTTTATGGTTTAAACAAAATTATTTATAAGTGTTGGTTTGTATTTAATTAAATTTTTAAATACTTTAATGCAAAATTATTCTTTTTGTGTATAAAAGTATAATTATGTTAAACGTGAAACAATGGTTATTACTATTACCATTGATCTATTTTATTTTTATTATATTAATACAATGAGAATTCAGATTCTCAAAAACATATCCGAATTTACCCGTCCGATATTATTCATGCAAAGTAGTAATGTTAATCCGATTAGGTATTTCCATAATGAAGATTAAATTATATATCAGATTATATATCAAGATTATATTATGAGTTAATTATGCAATACGTCCATTAATTTTGGAATACATAACGATTCAAACTGAGATTATAAACTATATAATAAAACAAGCATCCTTGCAGAATATTACGTATAAGGAGCATGATAGATAAGAAAAAGAAGAGGGGTATAAACCAGATTAATTATCTAGCTATAATATCGTTTTTGTGCTGTACACAAATAGTACGATATTTTTGAAAATTAAATTCCATGATTGTATGGATTTAATCAGAGAGAAATAAACCAGGGAATGTTTTTGATACATCTGTGTAATCTGCAAATGTTTGCGACTTAGCATTCTACTATTGTTAGGCAAGTAATAGGACAGTCGTAACACGTTATCGATTTGCACGTACACATCGTATATATCACATTGTATTATAATGCGTAATAATAAATAAAGAAGTGTATCACAAATTTTTATGATTGCTTGTATTCTCTATTTTCTCTTTTTTTTGTATATTAACGACTGATACTTTTGTATTAAATTTCGTTTACACCCCTGGTTTATACCCCTCTTCTTTTTCTTATATCTATCATGCTCCTTATACGTGTTAAAAAACAATAAACTCTTTATATATATATATTGTCTCGACTTCTCAGGTACGGAGGCTTGAGTACCAAGGATGCATTTATCATTAATTTTTAAGACTAGTGCGTACCATAAATATATTTGATACTATATATGTATTTTTTATTACTTCTGCCGAATATTTTATTTTATATTTATGTATGTGTACTAATGAAACCATAAAAAATATAAGAACATTCTGTGACACCCAGTTTTTATTCATTCACATACACTTCTGTTGCATTTCAAAAGATGCAACAAAAAGAAATACGAGATTTATTATGTCATCTGAAATGACGATACTTGTTAATACAAGTTTCTCTCTTGCGTAATATAATCAAGTTCGTAATGATATAACGTCGGATTATAATAATCAGACTAATGAGCAATGCCACCTTAAAATATTTATTGCAAACGTTGTGGTTAGAAAATGTTAAGAAATTATATAAATTTCTTTTTATTATTAATATGAAAGTCTTATTATTAAAATTAGACAAATAGGGGATATAAAATTTGCTTTGTTATAAAAATTAAATAAATACGGTTTTATCCTCTATTTACAGCACAGATTTGCAATTTGATAAATTCATCTTATTTAAATTAGTCAAGTGTATTCATATCTATTAATACTTAATATTTTTATCAAGAAAAGAAAAAAGGATTTGTTTTATTTTACTTTGGACTAAAAACATGTTCTAACATTAATACAATAATAAACTGAAAAAAAAGTAACTTAAAATAGTATCCTTTATCAAAAAGAAAATCTCATCATGAAGGAAACTCTCGACCAAAACCGCATCCTTCCGTTCGACTGAATTGGGATTCTCATTAATTAGAGCTTTAACTACATTTGCGGTTATGGTTCACCGCTGACGCTTTCTGATTATAGCAATCCTATTCAAAAGCGTAACTATACGCATATTACGAAGAAATAATAATTTCTAAAACAGAAGCAGTCCTATAGCATAATCACGAGAAATATCAAATATAAATGTATTTAATTTTTAAAAATCTATATTGGGAAAAAGAAATAGAAAGTAAAGTTGTTCAAAAACAAATAATACACACACACAGACACTTGTTTCAAAAATTGCAATTAATAGAATATATATAGCGTTATAAAGTGCGCGCAAGAATAAGTGGTGAGATGTTTGATGTTCATTGTGGAAGGGGAAAGACGAAGCTGACGACACAGGCATATATATCAGAGATACCACTCTATTGCATGGCAAAAACGTGAAAGCACTGATCACCTTTGCTACCAGTTATATTCCTCGAGTATACAAGTACGATATAAATAAATTGCATATATACTTCAAGTGTACATTTTATGCGAATAGCGTGATTTTTTCCATCGGCACGATTTTTATATGAAGTGTATTACGCATTATCATAAAACAGTGAAACGCGAACGTCGAAGATAAAGAAGATAAACCAGTATAAATGATCTCTTAATGTTGCGTTGTGTATAATCTTCAGACTAGTCAATGAACGTGAATCAATTAATATTCTTTCCTTCTGTTTTCTCATAAATTAGTATAAGCAATATATGAAAAAAAGGGCAATAAATATTTTGCTAATAAGATTAATTATTCTACATTCCTTGGAGTATAAAAACTGAAAATAGAAATAATATATATAAAAACGCTATTCTGAAAAATGCATTTAAAATACTTATTTCATCCTGGAGAAAAAATAAAGCATATACAATTCAAATTATTGTTAATACAATTGTAGATGCTTCCGAGAATATATTACAAGACAGAACATTTTTAATGCATTTCTTTTTCAAAATGGATGTTTGTTTATGTCCTCTTTTTTTACTATTGTTGAAATTAATTATTAAAATATCATAAAACATTAATAAAATTTATCTTTTCATAACACCTTCAAACTTCAATTAAAATTTGATAACTTTATACAAGTTTACTACCTAATATCTGTAGTAGACCAAATTATCGAAGTTTTCAACTTGCCCCACTTCAATAAAAAATGTAATATTTGTCATGCATAGCTCCTAATAAGCAAGATCACAAGTGCTATAGCGTCCGGCAAAAAATGAGGCTGCTAGTCGTATCCCTAGTCTTTGTGGCAACGATCACTATTACGAAAACACAAAATGGATACGCGACCAAACCAGGTTCATGTCCACCTGCCTTACCTGTACAGTCCTGCGGACAATCCTGCTACGTTGACGCACATTGCGCGGGAATCGGCAAATGTTGTCAGACTCAATGTGGCGGTTCCATTTGCTCCATGCCTGTCACGATGACGCGACCTCAGATAGGTGAGTAATTTCTTCGATATATTTTGCTCGATTTGTTAATCTGAAACAGAGACATTAATCGTACATCTTTAAACGATTATACTACAAAATTTAATATTACATTAATTGTAAACATGATAATAAAGTAAAATTTATGTAATTTTATCAACATATTAAAAAAAAAAGTTAACTTTAATGTGTGTAATTTTTTTCTATTTTTATTGCAGCTTATAGAAAAAAAAACTTTTAGACAGAAAATCATTTTATTCTAAATTAATCACAAAATTCACAAGTTTGTAATTGAAAAATTGAATCTCTGTTCAGCAAAGAAGCCAGGATCTTGTCCATCGGTACCGACAGGAAGATGGGTGTGCACATCGACTTGTAATAGCGACAACGATTGCAAAGGGACATTTAAATGTTGCAAAAATAGATGTGGAGCCCTAGCCTGTCAAAAACCAGAAATACAAGAATTCGTTGAAAATCCAGTTGAAACGGTTTTTTCACGCTTCGGAAATGATTACATTGATTACTATCCTTAATTTAAAATTTTATATGCTTATTATATTTATATAATAATTAATAAATCTAACAGTAATTTTATAACGATTACATCATTACATAATAAAATAATTTTTAGTAATAATTTTATTTCTTACTAGCATAACGTATTTACAATTTTTATACGTTCTATTAATTATCTTCTTGTCTGCAATTCGATACACCGTGATAAGGAAGTATTAATTGGATCCTAATTGCTGCAACTATATTTTTGTCATTTAAAATTTAATTTGACAAAAATTATTAAATTACCATATATACAATTAAAAATAATTTGTATTTCTATTTCTTAATTTTTATCTGCCGCGTCTCCAGATAAATTTATCAAACATTAACAAAATAAAATAATAAAATTATGTAATTAAAATTGTAGAAAGGGATCTTTCTAATGAGATATCTCAAAGGAACATTTTTAATAAATCTTTTCTAATCAATAATTCTAATAAATAAACTGATATATGTATAAAGAAAGACCAAGGTTATGCAAGAAATAACATTAAGAAAAACGCACTTATTACAGATGAATCTATTTTGAATGTAGTATATGATTTAGATTCGTAAAATATCACCTCAGTAAAAATATTCTACATAGTACATTTAATTATATATTAACTTTCATTTTTAAATAGGTACATATTTCAGTAGTAGTATATTTGATAAACAAAGCAAACTGCAAGTCTACAATATGACTTTATTGTGTAATTAATTACCACATAATTAGCCTTGATTTATTTGACTAGTCGATTCGGGATTCGATAACAAATAATTATAAATAAACAAAGCTTGAACAACCATAAGTATTAAATTAGAATACATTAAACAGCTATGAAAATTCTAAATAACGAGAGATATATAAAGCTGGTTCTATAATTACACTTATTACGAATATTTTTACACTTATTACGAATATTTTTACTGAGGTGATATTTTACGAATCTAAATCATATACTACATTCAAAATAGATTCATCTGTAATAAGTGCGTTTTTCTTAATGTTATTTCTTGCATAACCTTGGTCTTTCTTTATACATATATCAGTTTATTTATTAGAATTACTTTTTCAAGTTAATTACGCTTTTCAGTAACTGAAAATAATTCGTTATTACTACTTATAAGATATCATCATGTATCTTATATAGAAGGATATCAGAATTTGTTCTAAATTCAAATTATTCTTCAAAAATAGAAACAAATTATAACTATATAAATGTTAATTAAGTAATTCTAGCTAAATGAAAAGATTAATAAATTAAGATAAATGTAGAGTAAAAGTTATGGACGTAGCCTTCAACAGAATAATCAATGTTACAGCTCGATTTTAAGAAGAATGATGCTTAGCGGTGCATAATATCAGCGTTTATGTCTCTATCATTTACAATGTAACATGTGCCCGGATCTACAATAGAGTTTTAAGCCTTAAGCCATAAGGAATGGATGAATCATAGTCGATTATTCTCCTCGAATTCGACTGTAATTGGTTAATTTCTTACAGCTTAGGGCTTAAAACATGTATTGTAGATCCGGAGTAAAGAAAGAAAGAAGCGCTCGAGTTCAAGTAAACGGGTATCGTGAAGACTTTCTTGAATCCACACTATAGACAAACACAAATTGTAATTTGTTTGTTATGTATACTCTTCTTTCGTCACATACTTGATTAATATCAGAGAGGTGGAAGATGTTATAAAAGCTGATGTTTTTGTCATTGCGCGTCTAGAAGTCTCGTCGAAGCCTATCACGAAGTTTTAATCAAGTATCCAAGAAACCAACGGCCCGTAAAATGAATCGTGAGTATTTAAACTATCCAGCCTTGAAAGTTACAGATATGCTACGCATTTCTCAAGAACATAATGCGCGACTTCCATGTAATATTATTAACATAATAAGTCATAATCGTAATAGACTTTAAAGTGTTGAGCAATTCGTTGAATAAAAGCACCAGGTCAATTCTATTAAATAAATTATGTAAATATATAATTAGGCTTTCATTAAATTAAACAAATGTATATTTAAGTAATTAATTCTACATTCAACGCCGCGTCATCGAAATAATTAAACAGTTATGTGTTATATTGCAATTCAGTTCTGTAAATTAATCTATATCTATATATCTCTATCTCTCATATATTTATATCTCTCTTTTAAGGTCGTTCACATAAATTGAGTTATGATATCATATTCTCTGAAATTAACATAGAGTTTGTAACAATAATATTTACTTTCCAGGAAGCTTATTATTGTTCGCGGTATTGCTAGTTCTGTTGATCAACGACACGTCCTCTCAGTTTTGTAAGTAAATAATATCATTTACGCACAGAAAACTATAAAGTGTAAACGTACGCAATTGCATTTTGGATGTAGTTTCCACGTAATGGAAATACTCGTTCTATATATTTTTAACTTATGCTCTTTCTTTCGCTGTCTCTCTTGTTCTGATTTAATTGCAGAATTATATTAAAAGTAAAATAAACACATCATTTCTTAGATACATATGTCTTGTCAGAAAGTAAAAATTCTGAAGTAGAATCCATCTCCTCTCTCACAAATTGGATAATCATTTATCCCTTAAATATATTAATTTTTTTTGTTCTCAATATGCTTATAATATAAAAATTATATCTACTCTTTTTCAATCCCCCCCCTAAGAAGTTTCATAATGCACAGAGAAATTTCATATTTAAGATTTAGTTTTAGTTTCTCAAGACGTGTATCTGCATATCGGAAAAGAGAATGACGAATGCGACACAGAGAGCATTACCTAATACTTAAACTACGTAATAGTCAATTATAGTATCCTCGTATATATGCACGTCAGCGATATAAACGTGTTAATTGTGACTCTACAACTCACAATTAATTTGCAGAGCGATACTATCATTTAATCAAAACGTTCAATGTAAAGAAACACAAGATAATTATTCCTTAATAATTTTTTTTTTAAATTATAACATGCAATCGAAGAATTACTAATAGTATTTGACAAATCAACTTTAAGAATCTTAAGAATAAAATAAAATAAACACCCTACAAATTAATCCAAAGAAAATCGCGGAGGAGAGAGAGAGAGAGAGAGAGAGTAGAGAGAGAGAGAGAGAGAGAGAGAGAGAGAGAGAGAGAGAGAGAGAGCTCTTATATTTGTTATATCAATTATTTTGTAGACAAAACTGGCAACTGTCCGATGAGAAATACCGTGACCAATTGTACTCCCAGGTGCATAGGAGATGGACAGTGTCCGTCAAATGAAAAATGCTGTCCAAACAAATGCGGCCATACGTCTGTCGCGGGGGGGACTACATACACAGTATATAAAATTCACATAATAAAATAAACATTAACATCCAGTTTTCAAGACTCGAATGGCTATATATGTTCTGTTTTTATAATACATAGAATTAATCCTTTTTGCGGTCCTTCGATCGCGTCGAACTTAACATACTTCACGGTAATCTGTCGCTATTGTATAAATCGATATAAGCCATATTTCTAGGATCTCTCTATAAGTTCCTCCAGATAATAAAAATTCCTCACGAATCATGTTAGATTCACCGAAAATCAAAAACAAAATATTTGATTTACTCATTTGCAAGAGAGAAATTCAACCGCGAAAGATTAAAACACATTTACGCGCAAATTTATTTAAAAAAAAAAGAAACAATAAACCTTACATTTTGATTTCTCGAGCGTTTTGAACCATCAAAACATTTCTTATTGTTACGTGTTTTTGCAGATCAGGACGTTTACTGCAATGGAGTGAGGTGCGCCGCATACGAAAAATGCCAATATGACCGTAACACCAGGCGTGACAAGTGCACGCGCGTCTAGATCCACGCACGAATTCTCGATAATGCAGCCATGTAGGCATCAAAGACATAGAGAATGGACTGCGCGATCCCGTATCTATGTAGTATCAAAATGTGTCGACGAAAATGAGAGAGAGGGTCCGTGGAAGACGGCCATCTCTATCTTTTTCCATTCCATGGTGTAATGGAAGAGAGAATGAGAGGGAGATGGCTGTCTTCCACGGTCCCTCTCTCTCATTTTTGTTGACCATTTTGACACACGGATCGCGCAGTCCATTCTCTATGTCTTTGGTAGGCATTTTAGAGAGCCTATAATCAGAGACCAGAGTGGCGCCATAAGAAAGATTACGCCATGTTTTAGCGAAATTCTGCATCGTTTTCCACGCGCAGTCAACTTCACGCGTATAAATCGCATCATAAAAAGTGACGCGAGACGCGGAAATATTTTCGGCTAATCTGCAGTGTATTGTAAGATATGGATGGTTGTCGGACTTGGTTGTCAGGCGAATGTTATTAATAATAAACTTGATTTATTTACCACTATAACACAAACTGATTTTATTATCACACAAATATATGTTCACAAATGTTACTATAGACTGATTGGTAACTTCCCCAAAGGCCATCACACGTACAAAAATTTTAGTAGTAATCGTAAGGTCTTAAGCAAATCGACCAATCACAATCAAGATTACGATTCACATTTTAATACGCTAAACTGTGATTGGCCGATTTGCTTAAGACCTTACGATTACTACTAAAATTTTTGTACGTGTGATGGCCTTAATGGGCCTTCTACAATAAGCCGTAAGTCACAAATCATAAGTCATAAGCTAGAAATGGACCAATCACAGTCGTCAATTTTTAGTTTCTTACTTCCGATTTATGACTTATGGCTTAGATATTGTAGAAGGCCCATAAAATACTAAAGGCACTGAGCCTACGAACGACTCAAATAACTATTACGACTTCGATCAAGTGCTTTCGCGACGGCTCCGCACCTAACCGTGGTATACTTTTCGAGTGAGTCCCTCGCGCATATTCTCTCAGCACTCGCTATGTGCCGAATATTCTAGAAGATCATGCTTCGGTCGCGTGATCACCTGATTCGACATTACCGTCTTTGTCGCACAGCTGATAAAAAACAAACACATATACATTCGAAAGACGTTTACTCTTGCTCGCTCCAGAATATGCCCATATAAGGCAATAACATGATATATTTCTAGAAATACATGTGTTATGATTCTAGAAATTTCTTACAGTATATATTATCAGGGAATAGGAAGTTACTTTTTAAAAGTAACTAGTTACAGTTACTCGTTACCGAGTAAAAAATGTAACGAGTTACCGTTACAGTTATCGCTTTTTAAAAGTAACTCGTTACAGTTACCGTTACTCGAAAAATAACTTTCCGTTACTTTTTTAAGATCAATCAAAAATGTACTTTTGCATTTCTTGCATTTTTTTTTTAAATATGTAACACTGACAAATATATAGTTTTATTTAAAAAAAAAAAAAACAATGTAGAATGGCTCAAATAATAAATTAAATAAAAGTAAAATGAGAAGGGTTACGAGCCAAAAATGAAACAGTTTATTTCCGATAAGAACGACGATGACAATGTAATTAAATGTATATAAATATATATTAGAACAGTAACATGGATAAAACAAGATAAAAACAAACGACGTTTCGACACTTGTTGTCATCTTATTGGAAATAAACTGTTTCGCTTTTGGGTTCGTAGCCCTTCTCATTTTACTTTCATTTAGGCCCGGTTGCACCAACATTATTTGATTTTAAGCTCTACTTAAAACTCTATCTATCTTGTATTAAAGCCGAAAGAGAGATAGAGACAGAGACAGTTTGAGTCTCGCTTAAAATCGAAATCACGTTGGTGCAATCGGGCCTTAATTCATTTTTTAATTTTTTTTAAACACAATTTTGTAATTCTAAAACCTGTAAAATATGCAGCAAACTGAAATATGTCCTATTTTAATTTGTATGTCCTATATGTATTACATAGAAGATAGAAGTGTAAAATAATTACTGAATCATGACGGCCAAATGCTTAAGGACTTTCAAGTCTTATTGATAAACGCTATAAATGGCATGTATCCAATCGAACCGTGTTCAATCGTGTGTAAAGTAACGACAAAAATAAATTTTATTACCATTATCCAAAAAATGTAACTCGTTACCGTTACAGTTATCAAAAAAAAAAAAAGGTAACGCAGTTACTAGTAAAGTTACCAAAAAAGTAACTTGTAACTGTAACTTCATTACAAGTAACGAGTTACTTCCATTCCCTGTATATTATATACAACCTGCCTTAGCGCCGAGATACTACCGCGGTGTCTCCAAATACATATAGTACTGTACTAGAACCTAGATACATTACGCGATATGTAAAATATTATAAAAAATAAATGCAATTTAATTATATTTCACATTAAACTGTAGCCTACATTATTAAATATTTTAATAACACATAACATATTTTAAAATTGTCGAAGAGCTTAAAAGCGATATAATATAGGTTCTTAAAATACTCCCACGTCATGTGTACTGCAAATATTAATAATTTAATATTATTTATTATTTATTCATTACCTTTTGGTAAATATTGTAAATCCAAAATATACTGGTTCGTTTATATGTCGCCAATCCGAAAACTTTCAAGAAGGAAAACGTCTATTTCATTTATAAGGTCTGCATAGAGATCTATAATAATAAAATCATATATAATAAAAAACACAAACATATCTAATAATAAATAAAATAATATACATAATATTCTCTCTATTTTAAATTTATTTCGATCGCGTCGTTTGATATTAGCTATACGTTCTATTATTTATTGCAAGTGAACTGAAAATTTACAGTATACTTACGTAACGTGAATTACAGATTTTCAGTAGTTGTCAAATGAACTCTGTGCAGTAATAATGGATAGAATGCAGGCATCGAAGAATCGTTTAATATCGAGTAATCGATCTGTCGATCTGAACGTCACAAAGTCGCAACGCAATCAGCCGGAGCCCGAAGAGAGAGATATAGGTTATGTACGTCTAAGGCATTAGGTAGACTTGAGTGTTTTTCGATTTACTGTTAACTTCGTATTTCGTGCAAGGACGCGAGACGATGTAAGGGAAAATCGACGGCGTCGTCTCGTCTTGCAAGAGTTGCAAGATGGATCGCCGATGTCGCGTCCGTGTCCGGTAAACCGCATAAACGTCCGTCTTCCGGCTCTGGATGAGAGGTTAGCTCTCTGTCCAAGCCGACCGTGCTGAAAATGGCTGTGGAGTTTTTGATGAATCGGCTTAAGGCCTTGCTGGTGCTGCTTTTCGGAATATTTAAGCGCGCGATGTGCTGCCTCCGACGTCGAAGACGATCGTCTTGCGACTCTGTGCCCTTGTCCAACGTCGGCGTGGTACCGAGTGTTCTCACTATCCCGATGGTACATATTTCTTATTTATGCAATAAGTGTCTCCTATATATAAACAAATGTATCTACTTTTTATGCAATTATATAAATAATTTCTTGTTTTTTGATAAAAAAAAAATACCGTACTGTTTTCAAATATCGTAGCAAACTAAAAAAAAACTTACAACCTTTATGTCTAATCTATGAATTGTACTAAAACGGAAGATATAACTACTATGTGTCAAGGTTTTTATAACAATTCTTATTAAGTATGCTTATTTAAGGAATTAGAGCAGTGGGATAATTGGGAAGAAAACCCAATCATTGTTATACCGGACAAGCCGGTTAATACTGTACAAGCTAAGATAGAGCAATATCGACAACAAGTAACTAAGTCTCCTGAAACACCCACTGAAGAACAGCTTAACTTTTTTGAGGTAATTCGGGCTAATTCTGAAACAATCGCTTTAATAAGAACACTAAAGATTTTACTTTTGCATCTTGTACAGGATATGACTCCAAAAATCACTAGACAAACAAAGATTCTAGTAAAGGATAAGAATGCAGATGGCTCATCTTGCAACATTGCAAAATTTACAGCTATGGATCCTGTTCCGACTGTAAGTCTATATCTAACAACTTGTAACATTCCAGAGATTCACATTCCTGTTATCTATTTAGAATGAATTAGGAGAATGGGAAGAAAACTCGGCTGGTTGGGAAGTAGATGATTTTAATGATCCTACCAAAGTGCTGCGAGAGCAAAGAAGAAGAGAACGGGAACAGCGATTAATAGAGCAGCATCAGAAAAGGCTGGAACGTACTGCAAAACCACAAGCCCTGGGTGCAAAACTGTGTTCCTGATGCGAGACCAGAAATATGTGGAAATTAATATCAAAATATACAATAATGTACAATTTAATGGGATACATGCCAGATATTTTTAACATAGAAATTGGCATTTTTTGTATATTAACTCTATTGATATAATTTTTGGTGTCACGTGTCAATTTTATTTTCTTGCTTTTTTATTATTGCTTATCAATCATTACAAGTTTAAAAATATGACGCGGAAATTTCTTGTCTAAATATTGCATTTTCAAGAAAATAAGATTTTATTTTACATCCCCTATATATTATTTGTATATTAAATATTTTTAATTTTCCAAAAGGGCACTAGAGAATTAATGAATGAGAATCATGAGAGAGAAAATGCAATACATTTACTTGAAACAGAGTGAAATTGCATGAATGTAGAGTATTATGTTAATGCATTGTATTATCTTTTAGAAGATTGAATGTTTTGTTATGTCATTTTATTGAAGTGTGTAAATGTACTCTTGCGGGCATTTTTCAGTATTTAAATATTTACGTCATTTCTCTTAATACATTATAAATGTAAACGGAAGAATAACGTGTAAACAATGTCGATGATTATCTCTAAAAATAATATTTGTAGACATTCCGTATGAATTTTGTACAATCTCGAGTGTGATGCGTCTGAACTTCTATATGAGCGGAATAATCGTTTTGTAAGTTTTTAATAAGTCAATGTATAGTAATCAGGCAGAACCTGTCACTTCACAAATGTTTGTTTATGAGTCTATAATCTTTATAGATTTTATTAGAAGCTAAAATCTTGGAGGCTGTGTGTAGAAAACAAAAGAGACTTTTTAGTGCAATGCTTCGACTTGTTATATTTTTTCCTTTTGTTATTCGTACACAATTGCAAAGAAAATGGCATGAATCATGGATTTTGAAGTGTTTCGTAATAAAAAAAAAAGGAATTCGTTTACGTTTAAATTTGGCAATACCTAACTCTCAAACATTCTATATCTATCAATTATGTACATAAAAGAATGTATTCTGTTCATTTCATGATCTCAGAAATTGCTTGTAAATAATGCAAAATTGTGTCTAAAATTCCACGTTATGAAAGAAATTTTATTTATTAAGCAAGAAAAGGAATATCCATAATAAATAAAAAAAAATTGATAAAATAATTTTGTTCAAACTTCAATTAACTTATCAGAAAATACTTATACTATTTTGTTCAGAATTTACAGAATTATACATTTTTTATGACAATGTATAGAGAAAAAGATTAGTCAGAACAAAATGTACATTAAAAAATTTTACTTTTAGACATTCCAAGGGTTAAATTAATCGCCGATTTCCTCAATCACTCAAGTTCGTCAGAAAGATTCATTTCATCTACAAACGGACCAACGCATATCTCAGACGTATACATGATTCATGTCAGTTCCATTCTCGTCACGTGCACATTGTCAACCTCAAGAGGTGAGTTGTTCATCAGTCTTCGATGACTTCGATCCCGTGGAGGGGACTAAGGAAGGGGAACCAGAATAATCTGATCGGATATCGGAAGCGCGCGTCGCTCCACACGTCGACACGCTCGCCAAAGACAGCTGGAGGACAGCGGGGACAGCTCAGGACAGCTAAGGGCTACTGATCGGCCGTTACGTGTCCGAGATCGAGACGTAAAAAGATTCCTTGTGAGAAAATTGTGAGACCCGGGGCATCGAGCCAGAATATGTCGACGGTGGATCGCCACTGAATTCCAGTGGAAGGAGAGAGACGGCAGGGAATTGAGACGGTCGCGCAACGAGATAACCAAGTTGATAGCGGACCGACGATAGGTTCGACTGTGTAAACACAGTCTCGTAGACGCGATCATGAACGTTTGCGAGTCAGTCGGGCTTTGCGGACGGTCACTTGTCCGGTGAGAGAGCGAGAGGGTAAATTTCTGTTTCTCGATACGGGACAATCGGGGCTCGTGACGTCGGGGACACGCGAGACGTATACGAACTCCCGTGGTAACGTGAAGGATTGATTTCCAGGTACCACGGTACCCGCCTTATCTGAACACGATGTGCCGCATGATAAGACCTGCAGCTTAACTGGGAATCACTGTGACTCATTTTGGTGTAAGATAGATCTGAAATCATGTAAAGTGAGGTGGAGGAATATCATCGTCGCAGCATAGTTTAGTCTGGTTTAGTCGCAAAAAAAAAACGCAACAATGGGTTCCATCGCTCTGGAGGAGTACGAGTTGATGAAGGACTCCAAGTATCGGGTGTAAGTAGAAGATAGATTAGCATGTTTAGTATCATTGACACATGCGACTCGGTAAATATTACACAACGTTATAGTAATTTACATTTCGTAGCTTGATATTTGTATAGTTCTGGTTAAGAAACTTGTGGTATTATATGTTGTATATTTATCACACAGCTATGTGTCTGCTGTTGACAAGGCCCTGAAGAGCTTCGAATATACGAGTGAATGGGCAGATTTAATCTCTGCTTTAGGAAAGCTCAACAAGGTGTTACTAAGCCATATGAAGTTTCCTGTTATTCCAAGGAGAATCAAAATATCAAAAAGACTAGCTCAATGCATGCATCCGGCATTACCTTCTGGTGTTCACTTAAAAGCTTTAGAAACGTATGATATTATTTTTAAGTGTATGGGTACTAATAGACTTAGTCATGAGCTTTTCATCTATAGCGCAGGTGAGTAAACATATTAAATAATAAAAATAATTACAGACTACTCTTTGATACATTCTTTATATTCGTTCTCATTTAGGACTATTTCCATTATTGGGTCATGCTGCTATGAACGTCAGACCATCATTGTTAACGGTATACGAGACACACTTTGTACCACTCGGCGAAAGATTGAGACCAGGATTAAGTGGTTTTCTAAGTGGCGTTCTTTTGGGCCTAGAAGATGGATCTGATCACTTTGACAGGTGCAATCTATGTTATCTTTGTTGCATTCCTTGTGTATATTTATAATAATTCGTAAATAGATTTGTGCGTGAGTAATATAGAAATTTATGGGGCATTATTTCACACTAGAACTAATTCCTTACTGGAAAAAGTATGTGAGGGTGTGGGTGCAGAACATTTTTATGCATGTCTCTGGGACTGCTTGGCTTCAAATTCTGGCATTCGATTGCCTGCGATATCATTCGTGCTAGCACATTTCAACAAAAAATTGTCAATGGAGGAACAAAAATATATTATGGGTACTAATATTAAAATTATGGTAAGAAAAATTTTAACGCGCGCTATAAATTTATTTTAAGATTTCATTCTCTAACGTATGGATTTAAAAAGATTTCAGCCTTGTGTGCTGGAGTACAAGATACTTCGGTGCTAGTGCAAAGAAGTGCACTGGATTTCCTATTGATAGGTTTTCCTATGCACAATAGTCAATTGACACATCCAGATATGATACTTTTAATTAAAGCTGCTTTAATTACTATATTGCGAAGGGACATGAGCTTAAACAGGTAAAGGAAGCTGCAATATGTAACAGTCTTCTTCATATCTTTATTTTATATAATTTTTTATCGTATAATTGTAGACGTTTGTTTGCTTGGCTGTTGGGCACCGAAGTAAGCACATCAATTTTGAAGAAGAAGAACCATATAATTACAGACACTAAGGAGAGTGTAACATATTTTGACATGTATTCGAAGGAAATGCTAGTTGAAGCGATAAAATATCTGCTTAAAGAAGTGTGTGAAGAAAATTCGCAAGATCTGAAACCGTATAGGATACTTGTCTCATTACTCGATAAGGTGGATATTGGACCAATAATTTTAGATGATATTCTGTTTGAAGTATTTAGGTAAGATCATAATTACAAAATAAACTGTTGAAATTGAAACCATTTATCAATGTATTTTTTAATATCCATGCATTGCTTATTTTAGGACGTTTTATAATGCATGCAAACAATCTACGTCAAATCATGCACCGAAAGCGAATGAAGTGGTAAAGTCTGCAAATCTGTTATTCTCAACTTTAGAACCGTCTTACATCTGGATACATTGTGGGCATCTATTTGAGAAAGCCTGTAATACTCGAGCAAAGACGCATGTTACGGTCGAAGACATTGTAAGACCGGTTGGTAGTGGAATGCCAAATCTCGTGGAAGTATGCGTGCTAACAGAATTTTTACTTGAGACTGTGTCATTAGATGCGTTTATAGATACGCCATCTGAACATCTTCCTGGCTTATTTTACGAAATAATCAGCAAACTTTTACATCACAGTAGTATTCTGTCCCCTACAGAGATTTCAAAAAGTCTCAAATTATGCGCCAAAATCTTATCGAAGGTACAACCAACAATGGTAACGGCTCATACGGATAAGTGTGAAATAGATGCCAAGTTGGACACGTCTCTGAATAGCATTACAGTTCCCAGCGATAATTCCCTGATGGCAATCCCTTTAGAGAAAAGTCAGTCAGATAGTAAATTGAATAAACCTGATACATCCAATATCTCCTTCACAGAGAAAAGCCCAAGTACAAGAAGAAGAGCCAATTCCGGTGGTGCCACTAAAAGAAACGAAAAGAAGTCGAAGAAAAAGGGAAGTAAAAGCACTTCCAAATTAAACGACACGTACACTATACAGGCTGATGGCAGCAGCATATCTGTTGTAGTGAGCGAAGATACGAAACCTTTACCTAGAAATAAAAGTATGGACGATATTAAAGCAAACTGCGTCGAAATCGATGATATCTCTTCATCAGTGATTCAATCCTCAGACAGTCGTCTGTCTATGTTAAAACATTTTAAGAATGTTACTCCAATGGGATCGACAGGATCCTTATGTAGGGGACCATCTCCAGCGTTTCAAGCACAGCATTCCATGTTGGAAAAGTGCCTCCGGCAATACGAGATATTTTACGTTAAATTAATTAGCAACCGGATACTTAGTAAAGAGAGAACAGTACAGGATATGTTTGATTATTTAGTGGTGTCTTCTCCGAGAAAGAGTTTTGATGAGAGAATGCGTTACTTGGAATTTATGCTAAATTCGAGATTAAGCATAGATGACTCCGGATTTTTTAGTCAAGACTCATCCGTAATTGAAGATACCAAGTGCCTAGATATTTTTCACCTATTCCTCGATATGGCGACATACTCAGAATGGATCGAAACTATGAAAATAGCGTCCAGCTTGTTCGTCGAATTGTCCACATTTCCAAAATACTTTTTGCCCGGCGACGACGTACTCGTAGAAGAAGAACCGAAATTCGAACATGTTCTTCCGGATTGGTTGAAAATTTTAATAGTCTGCTCTTGCTGGTTGCAAAAGCAACCCGCATTACAATTAACGAGTATTGCTACGTTATTGGACTTAGTGGCATTGTTAAAAGCACATAACGACGTCGAGACACATCCAAAAAGTGGAGAGGGTGTGACGACAGTAATTATTGTTCCCCTGTTAAAGCAATGGCACATAACTTACTTGATGCAGTATACCAATGTATTTCAGGTAGGTTTTTTAGTATTTCTGTATACAGCATTTGATTAAAAATATGTGAGATTTTAAATAGAATTATTTTTAATACGAAGGTATTGGCACATTCCTTGTGGCATCATTTGGGCGAACTTCCCGCCCATAAATTCAGGATGCGTTGCGTAGAACTATTGCACGAATTACATCATGCTTTATACGATTCTTGCGATGCAGTTGAGAACTTAATAGGGTCCGCACTTACCTCTGAAAATCCCGAAAAAAGGATCGAGGCCTTCGGTAGATTCGCTACTTTATGGCATTTAGGACGAGAAATTGAAACGAATCCAAGATTGCGTGGCTGTCTCAGAACTTTTGATCAGTAAGTAAAACAGTTTTTACAGTATCTGTCCAGTTATTATCCACCTATTTATAATTACAGTTTTTACAAAGCTTTCGTTTTCTGTTATGCTGTATAGATCTTTGTTGAAAATGTTGGACAATCTTCAGCTTGCGGACAACTCGCCGTTAAAGCTGCAGGCTCAATCGTGGCTGTTACATTCCTTAATGCGTGGCGATATATCACGTGTAATAGATCCACTGCTGACAATACTATTAGATCCATCCACATGTCGTATGAGTGTTCTTCATGTGAGTATACAACATAGTAATACCGTCCTAACGAAAAACGATCCCGTGGAAGAGAAGTCAGAGATCCAAGATGACACTGAAGGCGCCGCGAAAATTTACGCAATCAGTTCGGTCGATGGTAATGTAATATATCACGTGAGCGATAACGTGGATGAGGACAAAAAGTGGAAGAAGGGTAAAAAAAAGAAGCAGATAAATCCTGTTAAGATAAAACGTATCTTTGCGGTGACAACGCTAGCGACTGGAGATAATTGCAATCACTATGTCACTGAAAGAAATCAATTTATGAAGGAACTTGAAGTACCGCCCAGTATATCCGGCAACAGGAAGATTTCTGTGTTCGTAAATCCTCTCTCGATCAATTGTAACGAAAATTCAAATGACTCCTTAACGGAGGACGATTCGCTGCCTAGCATGCGCAAAACGAATTTAACAACAGAGTTGCTAAAAAATGCCACCCGTTTCAAGAAAATTGATTTCGACAAAGGTTCTACTGCCAGTTTAGATGAAAGTCTTTTCGAATCGGCGAATTCCAGCTTGAAAGCAAAGGATAAGAGTAGCTACAAGAAGCTAAACGACGATGTCGATTCTTCGTCGGATTCCATAACGAATAGCTTAGACTCGAGCAGTCCTGAAGTAACTAACAAACAATCCAAACACAAGAAAGAAACTCTTATAATGCCAGGCAGTTCCAGAGAAGTAGCGGGCACTATCATAAAGGGCAGGTATTACAGCACAAACGAGTTTAGCACGAATTACGATCACGATATCGGCAGTTTTGAAGCAAGCGTAGAGGTACCTAGCTGGACGATGGACGATGACGATGGCGAATTAGACGTCAGTACTACTGCGGAAGAGTACTTCAGCAACTCCAGCAGTACCAGTATAGTCGAAGAAATTTTGAATGAAGTGTTCGATCGCGCGATGCAACTATGTGACGTCGCCGAACCACCTAAAAACGCAAGTATTTTGTTATTTAGCTTATCTGATATCACGATATTCTTTTAATATTTTTTATCCTGCAGGAAGAGGTTCCGCAACATAATGCGAAAACTAATCGAAATGTCGGCTTGGGTGTTCACAATCTTCACTCCCACATGTTGCTCTACTGTGGAGTATATGATTCAGCCAGAACTCTTTACGCTCTACGTACCCTCAGAAACGAACTCTTAACGAACACGCGAATGTTCCTGTGTTGTGCAGCGACGACTGGTGTAGCGAACACAACGAAGAACACAGTGTTATTAAACTTGTTAGCAAGACATAGAAAAAGTGTTTTTGGTAGGAACTTTCATGGTGATATAGCTAATACGGAATTTATAGCGGCTTACAGAAGTAGTATGTATCTGGAAGTGTTGATAAGCGTATGCCTGTACTTCGCGAGAAGCTACTATCCAAATCTGGGGCAAATGAGACTTACCTACGAAGAGATCGCGGGTAATCGCCAAGTATGTATTCAATTTTTTTCAAGTGTCTATAAAAGAGCATTTTTGAAAAAGATACACAAATTAAGAAATTATTAGATTTTTATTTTCGTATTATTAAATTGTTAATTTTGTTAGTATCGACGATATTTTTTTACAGGTACAACTTGCGAGTGCGGAGTTACTAACGTTAATATTTTCTGAGTTAATTCCGATCGTTCGCGATTCTGGGAAAGGCTTTAGTTGCTACATAGTTGATTTATTGACTAAATGTAAAGTACAAAAAGTTGCTTTGCATTGTCTTGTGTCCAGTGTTATGAGTATGAAGAACGCTCACAAAGAAAACGAAGATGTTTCCACATTTACTGAAGAAATCGTATTGTTTAATGATCCGTTTATTGATAATGATGTTAACAAATGTAAATATAGAGCAAGTGATCATACGGAAGCTTTCCAAATACAGTTGTTACGGTAATTATTCGATAAATTTAACAAGAATATTTTGCTAATCTATGACTAATTAAATTGAATTTACATGAGCATTACAACTATTTTCAATTGTATTCATATAATGTTTGTTAAAATGATGGATTAATTATTTTTTAAGGTTATTATTAGCATTAATTATGTTGGAGCATCAGTGCAGTAGTCAAAAAGGAGAGGAAATGAATTCTACAACGTCGCTCATACCAAGTTCGCCGACACGAGCATCAAATTTGATCGGAAATAGTTTGACGTTGAAATACGTTTCTGGAGCAGCAATACCACAGCAACCAATGTTTCTTGCTAGTATTCTTAGCGCCTTGCAACTCGTATGTTATTTAATTCATTCATGTTGTTAAATCAATTAAAAAATTTATACATATTTCTTAGACAAGATAAGTAATTAATTTTGTTATTGATAAGTAATAAATTATAAATAATATTTTTCAATTATAAATTGTTTCTATAAATTATGAATTGATCTGAAGTAGAAAGTGATAATCGATCATCAATCGTATGTAGTCCCCCCCGCGACGCTGATAGATTTTCAGCATTGACGCATACATATTCACTACCAGTCCATAGAATATTTTGCTAATCTATGACTAATTAAATTGAATTTACATGAGCATTACAACTATTTTCAATTGTATTCATATAATGTTTGTTAAAATGATGGATTAATTATTTTTTAAGGTTATTATTAGCATTAATTATGTTGGAGCATCAGTGCAGTAGTCAAAAAGGAGAGGAAATGAATTCTACAACGTCGCTCATACCAAGTTCGCCGACACGAGCATCAAATTTGATCGGAAATAGTTTGACGTTGAAATACGTTTCTGGAGCAGCAATACCACAGCAACCAATGTTTCTTGCTAGTATTCTTAGCGCCTTGCAACTCGTATGTTATTTAATTCATTCATGTTGTTAAATCAATTAAAAAATTTATACATATTTCTTAGACAAGATAAGTAATTAATTTTGTTATTGATAAGTAATAAATTATAAATAATATTTTTCAATTATAAATTGTTTCTATAAATTATGAATTGATCTGAAGTAGAAAGTGATAATCGATCATCAACAAAATAAACAATGAATATAAATTTTGTAGGATCATATGAGGCATCTTCATCAACATTGGACCACTCTTGTTACGTCTAGCCTGCCTTTTATGGGACCGTCTTTAACATCTGTTGTAACATCAGTTATTCATCAACTATGCAGTAATATTGAGCATCTAGCATCGTATTACATTAATGAAGATGCGACATTGACATCGAAATTGCAAGATATAAGCACAGTGGAATGCTGCTTGCCTGCAGATTACACTGTAACACATTTAGAAGCTTTGACATATTTACTCCATTACTGTCTGTTGGATACTTCCCAGCAAATCGGATTCTCGTTTAATCAGCCATTAAGTGGTACTATACAAACAGGAATTCCCGGCGCTAATCCCGGGCAAATATTCAATAATCTTATACATGTCTTTATGCCCAGTCCACTTTCTCCGGTTAGTTGAATAAAATATATATTTCAATTAATATATTTGAATCGTAGTTATTTGATTTATTCGATATGTTATAGCAAAGTTTTTGTTTGTCGTAGGATTTATCCACAGCCAAAGATAAAAATGGCGCAAATGAGCTGCAGCAACATGCCAGGAGAACAGCATTAAGTCATTTACCAAGAATAATAGCATCATTGTCTGCTTTATGGCAAGCGGTTCTGGCAACAAAAGACAAGTATATCTTATTTGTGTTTTTTATTAATCAGAAATATGTAGGAAAATTATATTATGTTAACGAATTCTTTTAATGGTATTGTACAGTGAACAAGCCAGTTGTGTGGTTGGTAGTCCGAGAATAGTTAAATATCAATTGTTGGAACTCTTGTCTCCAATCTCTTTCCATCATGGAGCCAACTTCTTGGCTGCAGTCGCAGTTGCCTGGCATGAAAGGCGCCAATCCGCCGCATCAAAAAAGGTAAAGAAAATAAGATAAGTAATAATTAATATCAGTTTTAGAAAAAAATATCTTAATTGCTGTTTGTTTTGCAGATACTTCCAGAAGCGTGTCCTAACCAGCAAGTAATGGTTCATCTTGTTAGTGCGATTCGTGTTATGCCTATTGATACTTTGGTACACACCGTACATCAAGTAGTGAAAACGCCACCACCCATACATGGTGTCAAACAAGATTTCTCATTGGAAGTCTCAGTGCTAGAATTACTTTACGTATACATGCAGAGTAACACGTCGCAATCACTTATTGAATCTTGGGCATCTTTGTTTAGTTTATTAAAGGATGGTCTGTCGCTAACAGCACCTGCCCAATTTCTCTTACTGGCTATACTAAACGAATATGTACAAAAGTGCCCACCTATGCAAGAAAAGAAAGATATCAAAGATTTGCAAGACGTGTCTGCGAAGGTTATTATCTATTTATACATTGTATAATAATTAATAACACGGTTGTTGAATGTTCTTAATAAACATTTCAGTTGATCGAATCGTGTTCGCAAATAGCCGGTGCCTGTTTAGAGCAAACCACATGGCTAAGAAGGAATTTAGCTGTCCGAGAAGATGTTTTTGAAGTAGTCGAAGGTTCTTCGGAAGGTAAAGAGGGAAAAAATGGTGCTGGTGCGTAACATGTAATTTATTTTGTAGATATATTCTAAAAATATTTAATAACAGGAAATTCTTTTTATTATTTGTAATTTCTTTTTTTCTTATGCAATTGGCAATTACAAATAGCTCTATATTTTTTCCTCTACATATTCATAATTATCATTGAAAGCTTTGTGTTACAGTAACACCCGGAACCCCACCTAATGCAGCATACAGTGTTCAAGCGCAGGCGGTATTAGCGGAAATACTTGCACCACTATTGGATGTCAGTTACGGTTCGCAAGAGAAAGAGCGAGTGGTAACACTTCTGACAAACCTCATGTACAATGTTACACCCTATCTAAAGAATCACACGTAAGTTTAAAAGTTTGCTATATAAAGATTTTGTTTAAATTTCTGTGAGGTTCGGATTAGAAAGAATAGAGCGTCTGAACTTGCTTATTTTATTTAACTTTACAGGATAAAAAATATCGCCTCGTTTACCGCTTGTTCTCAACTACTGGCTTCCTTATCAGGATATCAGTACACGAGAAAGGCATGGCGCAAGGATGTTTTAGACTTGTTACTTGACTCGGCCTTTTTCCAAATGATACCCGCCTGTCTACCGTACTGGAGAACCATAATAGACAATCTGATGACGCATGACAACACTACCTTCAGAGATTTAATGAGTAATACACATTTTTTATTACATTTACGCAATGTATGTATCGATTATAATTAAACAAATTAACACATTACGATTGATCTGTCAAATAGATCGCGTTTCCATGGCACAAGGTAGCGGAATCAGTATATTTTCTTCGAAGGAGCAGGAATATGAACAAAAAGCGCAGCTCTTAAAGCGTTTGGCATTTGTCATCCTTTGCAGTGAAATGGATCAATATCACAAATATATGCCGGAGATACAAGGTAAACATGTTTGCGAAATACATTTATAGACTATATTACATATAATAATTGTTTTCATACACACTAATTATTTTACTTTTAGAACGTTTAGCAGACAGTTTACGTCTACCTCAAGTAATTCCGTCTATTCAGGCGCAAGTATTTCTCTGTTTTCGCGTACTGCTATTGAGAATGTCACCACAACACGCAACGTCCTTATGGCCAGTTATAGTTAGCGAACTCGTTCAAGTATTCCTCTACATTGAGCAAGAATTGAATACAGATAGCGAAGAGTTCAGGTACGTGCATTTATTTAATCTATGTGCTTATTGAGCAAATTTGCTTGTGGGACGCTGTTGCTTCGTATGTGCATGTACGTTTACTTTACAATGTGCGATTGTTTATTTGAGGTATTTAAATTACTTCGTTTTTAATCTTCTTTCAAAACTCATGTTCTGATCTCTAAAACTCATGAACGTTGAAAAAATGCTATAATACATCTCTTTTGAAATCGATATAATCTGATTCAATAATCACCAATTTTTTTAAAATGCTCGAAATGTAAACGCGATGAAAAACGCAGTTTTTAATACGTGAAATAGAAACGAGATAAAATTATGCGATATAAGACCATCACTTATCGTGGTCTTATATATGTATAGAGGATGTTAAATAGCAGAATGTTTGTCTGTGTATGTCCCCCAACTAACATGGATATTATCTAATATTGTACCGTTTTGACTCTGTTTCGGCATCTTCGCGATTTGATGGGATTTGTGGTGCCTCCATAACTTGAATGGTGTTGGGACGGCAGTCGTCATAGCAGGTAACTTAATGGTCCATCCAATGCATATCCGACGTACATACATACCGCACGCGTATGCATATTGTTAATGTTGTAAAGAAACTCGAGTACAGTGATGTAAAAGATACTTTAGTTTCAACACCTAGTATAATATTTCAAATAAAATTGACAATGCGCACAAAATTATTTTCATATCGTGCTGAAATTATTTTTACATTACACAAGTTCAGTTAAGCTCTCATTTTTGTATAAAAATGTATGATGAGATACTTATTCCTTAAGCCCGATGGATTCAGGTTTCATTACGAAACCAATTAACCATGCGAATATTGGCCTTCACGAGAGAGTGATAAGATACTTAAAACAAATAAATACTCAAAGGACTAGATGCAAATATTTGCTAAAAAAAAAAAGAAGTAGCTATAGAGATATTAAAATATTTAAAAGACTCTGGGAGCGTAAAAAACCATTTACGCCACTGTGTCGAGTATATTGAATGTCAAAGGGCATTGCTAATAACAATCTTGTATCTTGTTGACTGACCTCCGCAGGGAAATTGCGTATTTTTCATATCTTGGATATCAAATTATGGTTCCAAAAAAAGTTTTGCATTTTATCATCCGCTAGCATTATATTAAATAACACATTATTTGCATTTTTTTGCACGCAGTTCGCACATTAAATTATTGTCAGCTCTGGACTCGTCGTGGGCTGTTAACGCCAGCAACGGACTTCAAGCACACGGGCATCCTCACTGGTTGCAATTACAGCTGGCCGCTGCTAAGTTGCTAGATCTCGCGTTGCTATTACCCGCGCACAGATTACCACAGTTTCAGATGTAAGCGGAGGGAAAAGAATTTTGAAGCAACATTTATTTTGTTCTGAGATAATCTATATTATTCCGTTTACAGGTATAAATGGGCGTTCGTCGGAGACGCAGCGGCTGGTTGTACAGATAACAATAATTTATCCTCGGACTTTGTGCCGCATATTACAAGAATAGCAAAATTGATGGATAGTAAGGTGAGTTACCACGATTCATCTTGCTTTCGTGACATAATAAATTATTCGATGCAATTGTCGGGTACACAGTCAACTTTATTCGCGATGAAGAGTAATTTAATGAATATTAAGAATGAGAACATAATATAAAATTTAGTAATTGTAATTGTAGTCTTCCGTCGAACATTCCTCGGGTAACAGACATCTTTGTGCTTTCTCATCAAAAACGTACTTTTCTTTACACTCGCATCCGCTTCTGCACGGTGTGTAACAGTCCACTTTATCCGGCTTCGAGCATGTGAATTGGCAAAGACAATGCGTCCAAACCGATCTATCATCGCATTCTTTAATCTTCCCCGAACGTATGTAATCAAATTCGTCGTAATCGTATCCGGGAATTCGATATTTGGTATATCTGTAAACTTTCTCAGACAGTTTGTGCCAGTTAAACTGCTTATCGAAAGAATCCCTCTCAAACGAATCGATACTGTTTCTAAAAACAGCGTAATTTGAACTAGGATATGTGCCGTCCTGACTGTCTGTGTCATCGAAATCGTTTGCAACATAAAAATCATCTTGCCCGACACTGTTGTATTCTTTATTGAAACTTTTTGAGCGATGTGTTGATAAATCTTCATAAAAATCAAAATCATTGTAGTCGTCCATGTAGTACTCTGTGACAATTACACACAATAATTAAGTTATCGCAATATTTATTAATTAAATACATCAGTAAAGTATGAAATAAAATTAATTTCTTTTATTTATTTTTAATTAAATAAATATTGTGAAATAAAATAGATTATGATACGAGATTTTATGAACTGTTTCTTGTTTAATGCTTTTTATTTGCTTAATGACTTGAAAAACTTAGTTTAAACTAAGAATAAAAAATTAACAATTCTATAAGAACATAGGCTCAAGAGATTGAATCTAAATATATGTAAAATTATTATCAATGTGATCCAACACTAGTTGTTCGTGTGAATTATAAGTAACTTTATTAAATAACATACAATAATATAAATATAATAAACGTTTCGACCTTTCGTTTAAGTCTTCATCAGTATAAATTTGATCTCAGTGTCAAAATTTGACTCTAACGTCATGAGAACACGATGTACATATTAAGTGAAATTGGACCTCGAACTTCTTGATTTGATGAACAAAACTATAAGACGAGCGAACAATTTCAACATGAACAACTAGTGTTGGCGCACATTGGCAATAATTTTACATGTATTTAAATAAAATACATATTACATAATTTTTTCGTTTAAGAGAAGATGGAATTGATTAAATTAATTTCGTAAGAAAGGCTGTTCTATCTGCAGTCATCTCTTCATTAATGTACCTATATATTTGCTCTCATAATTAATATCAATTAACTTACATTAAAATCATATTCAGTTATTATATCAAGAGCATTCAAAATATGATTACCATAAACAAAAAGGATGAACATTTATGTTATATAATATATCTATAGATAAATAGACAAATTATTAATACTTTCTTAAATTCTAAATTTTCTTAGCACTTTCTTAAATTTTATCTTATTTTTATCAGTCCCAAGTCAACTTTTCTTTCATAAAATTGTCAAGGTGCAATTTAATTTTTAAATTATAAATTTGAACATCCCGTATAAACGAATGTGACAGAAGAATATATGTATTAGGAGAAAATTGAGGGAAAGCATTATTACATATATGAACCTGTTTTTCTTTAAAAAAAAAAAAAAAAAAAAGAATGTGAGGGTATCTTTTTAATTATAATACTTATTACTTTTTGATACTCACGTGCAGTGACAACTATTATAGTGTATAGAATGTAATAAGATAAGATTTTCAGCCAGGCCATCTCTATGATCGTTTTTACACGGACGGTCGACAAACTCGATGTACACTCTTAGAATTAAACCGTGTAACTACTAACTAGTCTCAATTATCACTGTAACCCTGCTTTTTTATTGGTTCCGGCTTAAAGGCATTGCTGTTATTGCGTTACGACAAAAATTTTAATTAATTCCTTTGTTACTAATTATAATAATATACATTATAATAATATACATTAATAATTTTTTTTTCGAAAAATATAAAAAATTCTATTAAATAATAGTTATCTAAATCTCGCGTTTTCTATAATTGATATATGTACTATGAGATCACACAGTTACAGGAACTTAGTGTACAAACGCTGTCAGCAATACTGAAATACTTATTTTATTTTAGTACGTGAGAAAGCAAAAGCACATATATATATTCGTTTTTGCAACTAAGCCAATGCGCGATCTTGAGTCGAGTAGTATTGTGCAATATTTAGCGCTGCAAACGTAATTTTTCATTTCTTTACGTATTGTTTCATATTGTTCCTTTATCATGTATTAAACAGAAATGTTCCTTTTTTATTTTTTGTAAAATTTGTACTGATTTCTTTTTATAGTTCAAGCCAGAAGGTCCACCACCCAAAAGAAATCCGGGAGAACTTCTACTAACGTCGAATAACGTTCGCTCTTTACAAGATCTGCATCATTTCTTCTCGAGCCTTAGTCGCGCTACTTGTGACACGTATGTGCCGATAAATAACATGCAACTGGAGACTGTAATCGAGCAGGACTTCCTTGAGAAAATACCAGCCGTGCCAGCGAGATAGTAAGGATGCTAGTGAAACCGTATAAATAATATTTATTCACATCGGGAAGAGATATGTCGTTAAGACACGTTTTATTCTTTGATATATATTTATAAAAAATATATACAAGATATCACGAAGATAATCAGCGCACCTAAGTCTATACGTAAATGCTACATAGTATAAATGTGACACACACAATTATAATACAAGTATTTAAGAAATGCGCCAACTGTTCCTGTCATTAAATGTCTCGAAGCATTCACTTAATAAATAAAAAAAAGATTTACTCTGTGTCAATAAAAGTATGATGAATTTGAAAAAAAGACAAATAGACAAATTTTAATTACATAAAATAAAATGATCGATATGTCGAAAACTATAGGAATTCCTTTGTACAAATCGATCGTGAACGAAATGGAAAATGTTTTTTACAAATTGAGAATCAGATGTGAATCTGGAGGTGGCGTAATTCGACGATTTCTGTTACTGATTTTTTTTTATTGATTAAGCTTTCGACTTGTCTCCTCATTCGGTTGTGAATAGTTATTTGCATGTATTGTATAATATAGCAAGCTAAACTCGCTTGTTGGCCTGCTGTTGTAATATTGTAAAAAGCGTGTACATAAAACAGTGTAACATAATATTTATACAGAACATGAAGAAAGGTCTTCCCGCTATTTTCTGACACACACACATCTATCATAATTTTTTTCGTTGGTAGTTTTATTTCTCCTTTTTTAACTCCGAATCGTGTAATTTAAAGTAACAAATCGTAAGAAATTTCTTCACAGATCTGAACAGCATACGTCACGCTGAAACGCAGGCAGTGGAAGATGAGTAACCGAAGACAAAAATTTAAATAATGCTCCGATCTTAATACGAAGTGCGTAAATCGCTGTATGTGGAAGTTGTGAATAAGATTTCACGAAGTAAAATCTCAGGCGAGTAGAGTAAAGATACATTAAGATGCAGTTATTTTTGATAATGTTACCTGTAATTGTTCTCCATCCGCTCACTTTATGCGTTTTGAATTATTCAACCAAAGCGGTACACTATAAAAACTTATGAACTTTTATCTTAATTTTACTACCATACAGTTATTATCTCAAACTCTTTTCATTTTAACAAATAGACTTTCTAACTGACAAATTAATATTACATATTGCAACATGATATATAAAAAACATCATATAAAAAACGCGTACTTGAAATAACACGCTATATTTTTATGAGAAATTAGTTCAATATATACTGAGGAAAAATAAAGTCTACTGCTAAGAATGTATACTTTTAATCCAGTGTATGGTGTATCCATATAAGCTTCTGCATACAGTTAAGAATTAAATAAAAACTTACAGATAATATTGAGATATATAAATTAAAAAATGTACATTGAGATATATAATTAAAAAATGTCATCTATTTTGCTCAATACAAATTTTGAAATTGTTTCAAATGTCTGTGTTAAGACGCATATTGTTACGATCTTATACGTTATTAAACATCTCTTCTTTTTTGCTAAAATAATTTTTTAAAGTCAGGATAGTTCTTTCCCTACAATTGTTTTTGTCAATAAAAATCATTGAGATGTGTGTGACGGAATTACGATTACAGTTGGTAGATATTCTTTGTCAATAATAAGCGATCGTATCAATAAGTGCTTAGTGATGTGTAAAATTTATAAGTTAATATTTGTATATTACATATATATATATATTCTTACTTATACATAATATCAATATTATAAATTTATATTATAAATTCTATGTACACGCGACTCGTATATCATATACAGCAAAAAAATCGATGGCTTATACAGCGGATTTATTTTTCTATATGCAAACGCGCATTTTGAAAGCGTGCGAGTCTGCAAGTCACATATATACCCTGATAGCAAAACCGACTACAAAACCGTAGCCATCTGCGTCCGCATTTGGCTATGAATTTGGCGACAACATTTGCTGACAGTGACATGTTTTGCAGCAGATTGGTTGCAAAAACCGAGCAGAGTTTGTTGACAATTTTTGATTGCAGAAAGGCAAAACAAATTGTAGACAGAGTCTGCGTATTACCAAATATTGTCAGCAGACTCTGTTCGGTTTTTGCTACCAATCTGCTGTCAGATCATGTCGGCAGACTCTGCTCGGTTTTTACCACCAATCTGCTGCAAAACATGTCAGTAAATGTTGTCGCCAAATCCATAGCCAAATGCGGACGCAGATGGCTACGGTTTTGTAGTCAAGATCTGATCGAGTTTGCCGCCAATTTGCGCGCAAATTGGCATTATTTTGCTATCAGGGTAATAAACTGCTGTCAATGTCTGCTGATATGTTTTTGTCAGCAGACATTGACAGCATGTCAGCAGATTGGTAGCAAAAACCGAACAGAGTTTGCTGACAATACAGACTCTGTCTACAATTTGTTGCCAATTTGCAATCGAACATTGTCAGCAGGTTCTGCTCCAAATCTGTTTCCGCAGGCTTTGCTATCAGGGTATAATATAATATGCAGTAATGTAATGTCAAATTATTAGGTACACTAGCTCGATAAATCGATTAATTTCATCATGTTTTGCGTTGCTATTATTACAGCGAAATTAATTAATTTCTTAAAGAATATTTTTTTAAGGCAATATTACTGAAGTTATTACTTGGCGCTAAATCGCTCGGATAATATAATAAATTCATTTTACTTTAGCAAGGACTTATGCAAGGATCTGTTGTTTTTTAAACAAAAGAAAATAATTATATTCTAGTTATAGCATATATTTATATATTATACAACATATTATATACTTGTTAGTTGTACAAACAATTGGTGATACGATTTTAGTAAGATGAATTAATTTCTTAAATTTTTCTATGAATTAATTTCTTTTTTTATATGATATCTACGCGGTTTGTGAGCATCAAGATAGTCTACCTATGAAAATATCTTCGTGACTCACAGACTAACAATATGATAAAATATGTCAGAGAAATATTATGTACTTTCATCGAAGTTATGTCATTTTATACAGCAAATATTCGACAGATACTGTAAATCACTGCAATTTTAAGCAGTGCACCCGCTTTTATTATTAATCCGTTATGTTGAAAGAAATAAAGTTTACACTAATAAAAAAAAGAGTTCAATCAATCAACAGCGCAATAATTTTTATTAAAAATAGAGATTGTAAAAAAAATAACAATGTAAGAGTGTTCTTTTCTTATTCTATCCCTTGAGATCTTAAATCATGACTTCGAATTTTAACAACTGTCTTTAAAATCTTCACTATGGTGAATTCTTGCACTATTCATCTTTCCTTTTTTATCTCTAACGTGTAAAGAAAGAGGAAAGATAATTTATGCAAGAAGTTTAGTTCAAAAGAATAGGCTTTTAAATGAGAAAATCGAACGAAACTGAAAGATCTTCAAATTTCCCACACAAATTTCTCATATGCTGGGATGCGTTCAAAGTGTGCATTCCGAATTGCGTATGAAGCGCACGATGCATTATTGTAGTTTGTCGAATAATAAAGAAAGGTACAATAATACATGATGCGCTTTATGCGTAATTCGGAACGCACCTAAAGTCTAATCCGGTGCTCCTCAGGTATCACTTAATATCCTTGTTCAACACATTAATAACAAGAATAAAGTGATACCTGAATGACACTTGGATGAGAGAATCTGAATATAGCCTTGATAAAATTTTGATGACGAAACGAAACCTCGAGAACGATCAGTAAAGAAAGGTAAATGAACAGGAATCCTGAAGTGCCGGGACTTCGGAAGAAGACGGGCGAAGGTCGCATTCTGTGAGTTATAGAGCCCATCTCAAGGAAATCGCATGAGGATTCTGCCTCGTTTCGATCATCGCCGTTGACGTCACGAACCCAAAACGACCGTTGTAAGATCGAAGCGTCCCATTTAGCAGAGTCTGGTCGTGCTTTCTCACTCGCTCCTCCCAGCTCCGCCGCGTGGTCCTGCCAGGCCAGGCAAGGCCAGGTCTCGCCGCGCGGCTCTGTCGTCCGATTCGAGATAGGTCGGAGTAATTGAAACCCGAACGGTGACGAGGAAGAAAGAGAAAGAAAGAAGGAAGAATAGGGAGGGAAACGGTTGGAAGAAGTGGAAAAGATTGAGGAGAGTTGCTGAAGAGTTGTGAAGTCAGTGGAGTTGGCGTCCGCATGGCGCATGGCGAGCATTGATGCAAACGGTCTTGTGAGCGCTACGACGATCACTTTGCAATTTGCAGGACTTCGCCTACCACCGGAGCAAGATGTCCGAGAGACATCGGTGAACGGCGAGCGAACGGAGAACCGGTTCGCAGCTTCGTGTATTCGAGAACCGAAGACTGAGAGGGTTCTCTTCTTCACGCGAAGCGAAGAGGAAGGTGAAAGCGAATTCGTCATTCGATTCCTCTGGAACAGGTGCGCGTTTCCTCGTGTTGAATCCTCGCGATTGTCGAACCATCCGCACGAACGTCGGCACTGTCGGCTGGGTATGCTTGCGCCAACACGCCCCGACCGTGCCAGCGTCGCGCATGGTGCGGTTCGTCAGCTAACCTAATTCACAGTATCTCGGATCTTGACAACGGATATTTTCTCCCCATGATGAATGCGAATCTGTACCCAGCGATGGCCGCAGATAGACTCATGTGGGACAAGGTCTGTCGGCTGTGCTCGGAGGAGAGAAACGAGATGCTGCCAATCTTTGGCGACGAGGGTCTGCAACGTAGAGTGGTGCAGAAGCTACGCGCCTGTCTGCCTGTACTTGTGTACCAAACCGATCCGTTGCCGAAGCAGATTTGTCAGTTTTGCGCGGCCAGACTAGACGACGTGTACCAGTTCAGAGAGTTTTGCATCAACATCTACAGGAGTATGCACGCTGTGTTGCTGAAGTGCGAACAGATGGAGTCTGCTCAGATATATCTCGAAGCGATGAAGAACTCGTCGGATCCGTGCCAGGTTTGTTAAATAAATAATTTGTCTTAGGGGACATAATCGTAAATTTCTTATCATTAACTGCTTTTGGAAGATATAATCATTAAATATCAGCCTTCTTGGCATTCAACGAATAACAAAGATAATAAAGTGACATTTGTCGATTATGTCTCTTAAAAGAATAGTAACTGTAGTAAATAAAAAGAGAAACACATAGCAAATCAATTTGAGCAGAGCAGAGATTTTCTTTCTAACCATTGCCATTTCAAATGCTAGGTACAACTTTGTAAGGAAAAGTCTAGAGCTCCACCACCGTTGGTTCCTTTATCAATCGTCATGCCCTTCGATGACTCAGCAACACCGATTAATCAAGTTAATCAGGATCATTTTCAAAATGCTTGCATGGAAACTTTGTCTGAATTACCCTGTGAGGTAGAAATTAAGGAGGTGAATACGGATCCAATTTTTAGTGCCGAAACTGCCATTTGCAAACCGCTGAATAAGAAGCGTAAATTGTCAGAGATGTTTGATATGGATATGCAAGCAAGAGCGGAGTCTGTTTTTATACCTGATATGGAAGGAGCAAAAGCTCCTAAGTCAAACTGCCAAGCCAAGAAAGAAGAGAAACGAACCAGTATTCTGGAACAAGTACTGACTGGTAATTTGACGATGAATAATCATCAGAATCTACAATCTGAAGCAAAGTTAACTTCCGAATGGTGGTGTGCACCCTGTAACAGTTATTACAAGTGAGTACCATATACTCGTCGCATATTTCTACAACATTTTTTTAATCATTATGGATTTGTTCGGTAAAAATTTGTCATTTTCAGAACAAAGGACAGTTTAATGACACATATGCAGCACTGCCCGCGTGTATATACTTGTAAAAAGTGTTCCACGTCCTTTGAATCTGTCGAAATCTTAGCCAAACACGAAGCTAATGATCATTTGAAGGTCAAGCTGGATTTCACAGAAAACTTGAATGACTGTGATCAGTGCGATCGGCAATTCGTAAGATGGGAAATGCTGAAGCAGCACAGACTGCGCGATCATTTAGCTGAATTGACTGATGGAAGCAATACATGGTGTTCATTATGCAATAGGTAATTTGCAAAATCAAAAGACATTCGTCTCGTAAACTGCTTCTTTCTAAAATTTTTTCAACATATGCATGTGTTTTTAGATTCTTCCCTACTGTAGAATCTTATAAAAAACACACTCAGTTACATCAAACAAACTCGGCGATATCTCAGAAATTACCATCTTCAGAATTGATGGTGGCAAAAATACCAGAACGAATTAGAGAAATTAAACGGGACGAACAATACTATGAAAATGTAAAATCTCTCACGTGTCCCACTTGCGGGAAGGTATAAAGTTGTATTTATGTTTTTATAAGAAAGTTCTATATGCTTCACATTCTCTATGATTTTTGTATTGTCTATTATTGCAGATTTGCACCCAGCAGAGCGCATTATCAAATCACATGCGCACTCATGAACCGAAGAAGCACAAATGCGACATTTGCGGTCGGTCATTCGGACTTTTAATACGCTTAGCTGGACATAGAATAGCCGAGCATAATGAACAGCCAATGATGTCACCAGTCTTGTCAGCAATCGAGCAAGAGGAGGCTTTAAATGCTGAGAGGGAAGCGAGAGAAGCTAAATCTCGCAGTGGCAAGAAATCTTATTCCGAGGTTTGAAATCCTACTCCAATTTCTCTTTCTCTTGATTATGAATTATTATTTACTCACAACAAAGTTTAGATTTGTATTTATCACTTTGGAATTGTTTCTATTTATTTTTGCATACTTGTCACAATAAAATTATATTTTTCCATTTAAACGCTTTTTTAACAATAAAATTATAATAAAATTATATTTCCTAATTTTTTAAATTTTACAAATACACATAAACATACATACATAACTAATAAAACAAGATATGATATTGTTATGTCCGCTCTGTGCCGACATCCGTTCGTTTTTGAAGAGATCATACGAAGAACGCGTTGCCGAGGCGACGAGCCGTCATCTAACTAATAAACAAGTCTGGAACGTCGCTTCGTTTAGACGTGTCTTGTCGGCTCTCGCTTTTCCATTAACCGCTCTGTACCGTTATTAATAAAGAGAGCGTTGTATTCCTGACTAATTCTGTGTCTTAATTTCCGTGTTGCGGAGGCGCGCGCTTGCTCTGGTTCCGCCAATCGGCGGACGTAACATTTTAGGGTCTCGTCCGTGTAAGTGCTTATGAGTGGTTCCGACTCAGACGTGTTTGCACATCCGAAACGATACCAACGGGTGTCGGCACAGAGCGGGCATAATACTGTAATTAATTATAAATGCAAATAAAATGTAGGATTGGTAAAGTAACAAAGCGCTGCTTTAAATCCGTATGAAATTTTAACAAGAGAAATATACGGACTGAGAACTGAACTCAAATATTTCTCTTTAACTCCTGATTTAAATTATTGTTCTTTTTATTCACACATAGGTAATGGAGAAGAACGATGTCCCAATAGATGACGAGTCTATAACAAAACGTATTTCTGGTGGAAATAAAAACGTAGCAAGATGCGGCATTTGCTCACAATGGTTCAGCGATCACACGACAATGTTAACGCATCTTCAGACACACTCTGAATCTCATAAGAGTTACACGTGTCACATATGTAAAAAATCGTTCAAGGAACAATCACAGCTATTGAAGCACGAGGTAAAATTTTCCAGCAAGACTGTTGTTACATATTATTATTCGTTCATTGCCGTTGCATTTTTAAAACACGCACTATCTCTTGATTAATAGGCTAGTCATAAACGTCAAACGCTCGATAATGCCTCACTGTACACATCCGCTGTTTATAACAAATCATTCATGGATAAAGCGCAGCAAAAGACACACACGGTGGCTAAAACCTATCACTGTCCAAAATGTAATAAAATCTTTTTCAAAGAGGTATCGCTGCTCACCCATTTATGCAGGGATACAGCACAACTTGAAAAAAAAGTCACAAAGTCTCGGCTAAAGACGTCGCTTCATGATGGCAATAAGACACACAAATGCTCCAAATGTGACGCAACTTTCGCAAGCTCGCAGTCACGAAACGCTCACATGAAAATGCACGCCGAGTACATGCGCGGCAGTACAGTACGTAACAAATGATACTGCACGATTTCAACTGCATGTTCAGTAACAATCTATATCATGTGATTACGTTACCTTCTAGGCGCAGGCACACGAAGTTAAAGTCGAAGCAGACGATGAACCGATGCCAAAATTGCGTCCGGAAACCCTAGAATATATATCTCCTATTGAGCCAAAGGTTGAAATTAACGAGCAGGGTACACCTCCGCCTCTTAAACGGACTCTCATTAAAACAGCTAATAACGGGTAATATGATATATTTTGAGCTTTGAAAAATTTTATGCTTTACTCTGAAAGTTTAATTCTTTGTACGATGCATTTATTTTTAGATATCGATGTGGTGTATGTCAATCACCGTTCGTGTTAAGGGAATTAGCTGTGGCGCATTTGAGATCTGCACATCCTGTAATGCCATATCAGTGCCCTTATTGCAAAAAGCGATTCACGACGCAGTATACATTTGCTCATCATATCAAGACAGAGCATCCCGACGAACCCGAGAAATGAACATCGTTTAACTTATGCTAAAGAAAATGGACAGATCGAGATTATATCACAGCATGTGCCTCGTGTTATGTGTAAAAGAGCGAGAGAGAAAGTTGTGTTTATAGATTATATACGAAATGTGCGTATATGTGTATATACCTCACACTGTATATTGTGACGATTTTTGCGACTGTTAATTAGCCTTGAAAACTTTTCTATTACATAATTGCAGACGTACAACGTTGAAGTGTTTGTTACGTGAGGCTATTGATATTAGTACTTACACTGAACGTGCCTGTACAAGTGCTTTGTTATACAACATTATACGAACAATCGACACAGATTTTTTTTCACAATTTGAGAAAAAACATTGTCAAAATAACGATAAGGTGGAGTTCGAGGATCGAAACATTCGGACGATCGCATAAATTTTAGCGGCAACTAGCAACAACAGAAATTTGCGCAATTTGTACCATATGATTTATATTTTAGATTTAATTATGTACAATATGTACATTTTTCTCGCATAAAATATTATTAAATGTAGTTACAGTAAATATATCAGGAACCTTGAAAAAATCTTGATTATTCTAAATCACGATTGTTCTAGAAATGTTTTTCGGATTCGCTTATTGCAAATTATTCAATTTTACAGTATCATTGTGTTATACCTTGTGTTTTTAATGATATGGCTCTTTGATATCTCCAATGGCCTGATATCATAGTGAAGTGATTCTAGGATGTTTAATTTACGCGTTAAAATACATTCCTTTTTAAATAACGTTTCGTGCATCCTATTTTGTATCATGGTTCCACCGTTGTGATTGCCTTGCGATACAACGCCAAAGTCTCTCTTCGAGAATACCGAAGATCGTCGTCGTGACGACGAATAAAGAATCGGGCGTTTCTGACCGACAGCGATGCCGCATAATTTAAGTATATACAATCTTTATAAGTTTATTTTATATATACTTGATTTACAAAATAAACTATTACTAAAAGTATTACAAATCTAGGCCCGAAAATATTTTTATGTAATTATTCTGCATCATATTCAAACATACTAGCATTATTGTGGCCGCAGCGAATTTACTTCAAGAATACCCAATCCATATCTAATCAATTTTTATTGTAAATTTCACCTCTTCTGTAATCAATTTATGGTGGTTTCGCTTTTCATAAATTAGAATGAATTAAATATTTTTCATAGATACATTAGCAAATAGCAATTGAAATATGCATATATATATGTATATATATCTACACATATATAACAAATTAATTAATATGTTAGATAATCATACGTTATACTACCGCAATAATTCAAAAATAATTATTTGATTTTTTCTGAAAAGCCAATTCGACAATAATATTTCAATTTCTGAGAAAATACATGCTATTATAAAAAAATTTGTGAGTGCTTCTATTATTCAATCTGTTTAACTGTAGAAATGCTATTTCAGAGAGTATTTGAATTTATCTTAGATAAGAAATTGTGGGGCAGTTATACATATGAGATTCTCATATAGCACTGATGCAGCAAAATGCAAAGTCAGTATCTTGCCACTCTATAAATCATATAGGTAAATTATTTTATTAAATAATTAATTAAAAAAATCTAAATAGTATAAAATAATATATAGAATTATATATACAAAATAGAATAAAAAATATTGTATTAAACAACAGAAGATAATGTTTTAACAAAATATTGTTTATGTGTAACAATGTTTTTTAACGATGTCATGTACACACACAAAAATAAGAAACACGAGACTAGTCAAAAAAGCGATATTACTTTTCTAATATAATATTTCTATTCATCTTTTGAATCGAAAATAATCAATAATACAGTGGCGCTGAAAATTGTTTTTCAAGAGGGGAAGTTTGGACGGTTTGGATTTGGACCATTTGGACCCCTAAACGCCACGTAGTGCTGAATGACACTAAATTTGAAGTTGTATAGGCTGTTTCGCGTTGTTGCTTCTCTTCCGGTCACGTATACGGATATTATTCAGGTCTGTAAAAAAAGTATCATAAATTAAAAAGCCGGTATATCGTGCTTTTGATCGCGATCGACGCGATCCAATAAGGTTGTAAGTGGAAACCGGGCCGGTATTCAGAAGAGTCTATTAAACCTTTAGACGCGCAGTTAGACGCCACGACTAGGCTATGTATTTATCGATTGAGGGCAGATAATGAAATTTCTTTAATAACTGTAATGTTAGCTGTGACGCAGTAGCAATTTTACGTTTATTGTATTCATTGACGAGGCTGAAAATTCCGAAAATTAAACTTTTAATTATATACATGAAGATAAGTCATACAGGCGTTTTTAACATTATTACAAATAATTGACGAATATACATCTTCAGTGTCTTCCACTTACATTATTTAGAAGCACTGATACAACATACAACTCGCTAACCATTAAACATTAACACTATATATCTTGCGCAGTATTCTCTCCACAAACAGCAAAGTTTCAGCATGCCACGAAAACAAAGTTCAAAAGCAAAGGTATGGAAAAGGCATACACATCATAAGCTGTATGTTTGTGCTATATTTAATATTTTTCCTTTATGTTATTGAGAATGATTCGATCAAAGTCAAAACATCTGACCAGTTAAATTGCTATTAGATCCCTTTATTGTAATTTAGACACTGTAACATTACTTGTTCATTTATGGCTCGTAGCCCTTACAGTCTGTTCAATAAGAGCGTACGGTTCCACACTTCATTAATAAATGATGTACAGATGTTAAGTTTGGTTTTTCCGATTCTCTGAACAGTTCGGAAGAATGCTTGGAGGTTATATGGGTAATATGACTTGTTTTGACTAATAAAGCAAATAACAACAATGAGTGCTGCGTATGCAAGTCGTTTTGAAGCAGTGTTCCTTTGCACACATCCGAAAGGACCGAAAATGTCGTATGCAGTTGCCGGGCGCTACATGAAAAAGTCAGAAGGATTCGTCAGGAAGTGGGTGAAACGTTACAACAAAACAAAAAATGTTGACGACCTGCCGGAACGTGGCACCCTACCGTCAACGACGGAAAATGATGACAAAACTATCATCCAGATATTTGAGGAGAATCCTGGGTGTTCATTACGACGAGCGAAAAATCTTTTATTATTGAAAAATGATATAGAATTGAGCCTTAATACTATTAGACAACGATTGCTTGATTCCAAATGCGATTGGCGACCTATAAAGAAACAGCTCGTACGTTCTTGTTGAATAGACTGTATATTGTTTTATTTTTCCTTTAATTATTAATTCTTTAATTATAAATTCATTGAAGTATACATCGAAGTATTCTTCTGTGTATAAATCATGATATAACCACCATATTATTTACAAAAATTTTGTATTTAACTTTTGTATCCATCAGACAATTACATGTATCCATAATTTTCTATATTAATAAATAAATAAATTGCTAAATAATTTATCAGTTTTTCTTTAAAATTAGGCTGATTCTTCCAAAGCTAAACCTGGTAAAAAGACACAAAAATTAGATGAAAATGAGACCTCAAGTAAAAAACGTATAAATGATACAAATGATGAACCTGCTCCAAAGAGGACAAAAATCAATCCAAAGGAATCAAAAAATATTGATAAAAGTGATGATTCATCTAGTGCTAAGAAGGCAAAAAATGAACCCAAACAAATGCAAAATAAGACGGATACAAACTTGGATGAGATAGATTTTGAATGTACAAAGTCAAATCAAGAAGGAAAAAAGCATAATTTGAAGATCTGTACATGGAATGTTTCTGGGATAAGGGCTGTAATCAAGGTACATTTATGTCAAAGATACATTTTCTCTTAATGTATGTTTACAATAATTCTTCTACTTATATAATCAGAAACATGGAATTGACTATATTACCAAAGAAGATGCAGATATAATTGCTTTACAAGAAACAAAATGTGACAAGAATAAAATGCCAGACGATGTCAAATTGCCAGGATATCATCACTATTTCCTTGACAGTAAGATATATCAAAGAACAACTTATATTGAATATACGCAAATTGTATAACTAATAAATATGCTTTAATAGGTAAAAAACCAGGTCATTGTGGAGTTGCTTTGTTCAGCAAGGAAAAACCGATTTCTGTGAAATATGGTTTAAGTGATTCTACCTTTGATACTGAGGGTAGGATAATCATGGTAGAATTCCCAGAATTTTTCGTGATCAACGTTTGTAAGTTACTTGATTCTTTTAAAATAAACTTCAATTATATTATTGCAAAAATTAGAATACATGTACAATTTGATATATTATGTGATGTGTAAACATTTTAATAATTTTTTTTTAATTTAATAATTTATCTTTTCTGTACAATAAAATATTTCTAATTTCATAAAATATTACTTGATATTTACTAATAGAATATAATATGACAGATGTGCCAAATGCTGGACAGAAGTTGGTGACGTTACCAAAACGATTAGAATGGAATAAATTATTCAAAAAATATATTGAAGAATTAGATCAAAAGAAACCTGTTATTATATGTGGTGACATGAATGTAGCTCATCAAGAAATTGGTATAGTATTATTAAAACGATAAGTAAATCTCTTTATTATTGTGTAATCCTATCAATATTAGTCATTTAACTTTAATCTTTTAAATATAAAGTATCAGTGTTAGATTAGTATATCAATAAAACAATAGAAATGTTAACTTATTGTATATATTTCCAGATTTAAAAAATCCCAAAACAAACAATAAAAATGCTGGATTTACTAAAGAAGAACGGGATGATATGACCAACTTCTTAGCTGCTGGATTTGTAGATACCTTTAGATTATTGTATCCTGAAACAGAGGGTGCATATACATTCTGGTCGTATTTTGCCAATGCACGCAGTAAGAACATTGGATGGTAAGTTATTTTTATTAACGTTTTTACTTTCAACTGATATGTCTATATACTTTCTATGGTATATGTGTAAAAACTATGTTTTATATATATATATATATATATATATACATAAATCTTACAGCATTGATTAAATTAAACATTTTTTTATCTACAGGCGACTGGACTACTACTTGATATCAGAACGGATAAAAAATAAAGTATGCGATAATATTATAAGGAAGGACGTTTACGGTAGTGATCATTGTCCTGTAATACTTTACATTAATTTGTAATTTGTAATAATAATAATAAAAACATTTGATGTTCCATTGCATGAAATTATCAAGATAAAATTTTTTAAATGTGTGAATCCAAATATATTAGGTGGTCGGAAAGTTCCGTCCATCTAGTGACGAGTAGCTATAGCTAGAAATGTCGATAACTCTAATGTCTAAACCCAGAGAACAATGCACGTCAAACGCAAAAACAACTTGCAGAAACATTAAATTGTGCTCAATCTGTTATTTCCGATCGTTTCAAAGCCTTAGGAAAGGTCTACAAGGAAGAAAAATGGGTTCCATGTGAACTGAAACCAAGAGACATTGAAAGGCGAAAAACCACCTGTGAAATTCTGTTTGCTAGGCAACAAAGAAAGGAGTTTTTGCATCGAATTGTGACTGGCAGTGAAAAGTGGATTTATTTCGATAACCCCAAACGCCGAAAAATCATTTGCAATTCAGGCCAACTCGACATCGACGCCAAAATGCAATATTCATGGGAAGAAGGCCATGCTCTGTATTTGGTGGGATCAGAAGGGTGTAGTGCATCATGAGTTGTTGAAATCTGATTAAACAGTCACAGGAGATCTCTACCGAGAACAAATTATTCGTTTGAGCCAAGCATTGTAAGAAAAACGACCAGAATATGAAATGAGACAGCATAAAGTGATCTTGCTTCATGACAACACTTGACCCACGTCACAAAACTCGTTAAGGAAACGTTAGGAGCACTTTGCTGGGAAGTGCTACCCCATGCGGCTTATTCACCAGACTGTGCTCCTTCTGACTACCACTTGTTTCGATCGATGGCACACGCACTTGCAGAAGAACATTTCAACTCTTATGAAAGCGTTGAAAAATGGGTCTCTAACTGGGTAGCCTCTAAGATGAGTCGTTCTTTCACCATGGAATCTGCTTATTACCAGAAAGATGGAAAAAAGTCATATCTAACGATAGCCAATACTTTGATTGATGTACGTTTTCATTTTGTTTCTTAAATAAAGTCATACTTTTTGCATAAAAACGGACTGAACTTTCCGACATACCTAATATATGAATAATTACATTATTTTATTTTAAAAAAGTATAATCATTTTACATTTGTACTATGATAACACAATTTTTCCTAAATCCAATTTTCCTGCAATTTTATTTTTATATAGATAAGACCTGACAAATTTTTAACTTCCAATTCTTGAATATTCAACAAATTTTGTCAAAATAAAAATTATATGCAGAATATATCTAATGAAGAGAATTGAGATTTTACGTTTTATTTTATTATAGGAAAAGGATATTAAATTACAATTGCATCTTGAAGCTTAAGCTGCTTTTTGCTCTTAGCTTTAACTTGTGCAGCGATACGATCCAAATCCCTGCGTCCCTGACTAGTCAGTTTACGTCCACCAAGGGGTGCCTTCTCAATGAGTTTTAACTGCTCAAGGCTCTGAAGTGCTTTTCTCGCGACACTGCCTGCTGACCGACAGAAATGGCTGGGATGAGTACCGTTGCGTTTGCGTCCACCAAAAATCTTTGTAACTGCACCAACTCCAACGGGACTTCGAATATAAATATGGCGCACCAGGGCTGCGCATCTGATATAGTACCAGTCAGGGTCATAGGGTGCTAGCTCTTTGAATTTAGCTGTTTTGACGATATCCACCCATTCTGGTATTCGCATCTTACCAGTTCTAAAATTTTATCAAGAACAATGTAGTTTGAATTACAATAACATATTATATTTTGGAGCTCTGTCTTATGTTTATTACCAGTAAAACTATTCAATATATAAAATGGAGAATTTTTTATACTGTTACAGAGAAAAGAAATATAAATAACAAATGATAAATAATTGTAAATATTAAAATTTAATTAGATTTTAAATAACGAAATTTTATGTTAGATGTATGTTAGATATAATCATAAGAGCGAGATTAATTATATTAAATTTTAATTACTCTAATTGTATTCAATGTATAGGTTATATTCTGATTATTCTATTTATTCATATTCCTTACTCACTTTTTGAGGAAGGCTGCAAAAGCCTTGACAAATTTTTGCTGATCCACATCTTTTAACGTTACAGATGGCATCTAGAAAAAAAAATTTAATAAAGCAATTTAATAAAATCAATATACAAAATGACGTGGACATACCGCGTGGAGAAGGTGCAAGTAAACGTTTTAACTTCCTAAAATACTTTCCATTAATTGATAAAAATTATTAATCAATTACATACGTTTTTATGTAGATTCTCGTATTTTCTTGGCTAAATACAAAATTGCTTTTGATTCGTGTTTCGTATCTAGCAACAAATTCGCATTCGTCAAGCTAACGATTCTCGGGCATCGGGAACTAACAAGAGGTTATTCGTAGTTACACTTTCTGCACTTAAAAGGAAACGAATACATATTTAGACGAGAGAGAGAAAAGGAGAAAGAGGAAAAAGTGTAAAAAGTTTATACTAGCTAAATAAAGTGTTGTATGACGAAAACAGCAACATCTGACATCTGTCTACGTCCGATTCCATACAATTCCATATTTATGGAGACAGTTTAGCTAGAAGAGACAAATCTACAATCTTCATTTTTGAACAAGATATTTAACGCGGTGATTTAATATAAGGGATAAAATTGGCATTTTGATCCTTATATCTTGATTGTTTCGATAATGTTTACTAACAAGAAAAACAGCTTGCCAGCGAGGCCTCACATGCCAAGCCATGAACACATGCTAGAAGATCTCGATAGAGCCGTAGTGGACGACGTGGCGTTTAAAATCGCAAGTAAAAACACTTGCAGTATTTATGATTAAAACCATTTATACTGTCACTCAATTAAGAATCTTCTCTCGTAAGGCATATCAAGTAAAGTCTGTGGAATTAACTCGCGTTTAATTTTTTTTGTATTCGTTTACCGAACGATCGTTTAAACGAATTGGTAGATTATTCTTACAAATGTTATTTCAGATGAGTGTATGAAAGAATCTTATAGTTCAACGAGAGTTAATAACACTGACGATATATACAAACAAGTGAAAACATATTTGACTACCAAACAGCAGTTAAAGCAGTTGGAATGTATCTTAAAGAAAGAAAGTCATCAAATGCATGCAAATAATGAAGAAATAAAGAGGCTCGCGGATGACATTAGGAAACAGGCAGAAGCTGCTCTGGTAACTTGAGGAAATAAATATTTGTAAAGGTGTATTCAGTAATCACATTGCATTGTTTCAATAGTCTCAAATAGAGAAATTATTTTAAAATACACTTATTTATTTCATAAAATTTTCATCATTGTTAATTTTTTGCTAATATATGTTTTATATACCTTTCTCTGGAGCTCTTGCTTACTTAAAATAAGTAGATGAATATATCTACTATATAAAATATATTTTTAATTGGTAACTATTACAAATAAATTGAATTCATATGAAAAAAACATTTACTGATATTTTATATATGATACAAGATAAATAATTATATCATCTATAATAAGTATTGAATAAAATCTTTATCAATAATTTCTTTATATTCTTAATATTGATACGCATTCATGTACGCATATTCATATATATTAGTACACTGAACAGTACACCGATTACACAGATTGATACGTTATAATGATATTATTTCATAGATCAATCCCAATGAAATCTATAACAAGGCACAAGTAATAACTTAACACCTAGTACTACTTGTAGCACAATGCTACGATAAATATAATTTATCACATTTATCGTGATGGATAACACTTATAAAGATTTATGATTTCCTTTTGCTCCTTGCATGTAAAAACTTACAAATTATTCTTACAATATATTTTTATATTTCTTAAAGATATAAAGTAGCTCAATTAAAAGGAACCGTACGGTAGCCTCAGTTATTCAAACAGTTATCATAAAGTTTTAGATAAAAATTGAACTGCATCACGCTTAATTAAGGCTGTGTTCCAAAATTGACTGCCAGTACTGAAAATCTATAGTTCATGTCACGAGCACTATAGATTTTCAGTACTGGCAGTCAATTTTGGAACACACACCAAATAACATGATAAAAACAGATTATTATATATTTTTTCGTACACATTTTTAAATATTTTTTCTAGCACTTACAATTAGTATAATTTTTTAATGAAACAGTATATCCTTTATTTGAATTTTCTTTTATAACTCTTTGATTAATAGAGATTACCGAGTATTGCCTGTTAAACGTATGACTATTTCTCTCTTTCTCTGCATATAATTATACCTTATACAACAAAAATATATCGATACGATTAATTTATATAATTCTTATAATACTGTCTCGTGCGCATAACTATTTCAGAAAATTATTTCATTACTTCTGCGAATAGTTTCCGAAGAAGAGATCAAACAGTTTTAACCAATACTTTAAATCACTAAATCACTATATACCACTGAGCAATATATATCAAAAATAATATTAAACAATCAAAAGTTCGAAAACAAATTAATTATTATTAATATCAAAGAATATGGTTATAAAAAATATATATATGTATATTATAAAATTTTATAATAGATAATTTTCGCTTAAGTAGCTATTCTAAATAAATGCGCGAATAAAAGATATATAATTAAATTAACGCATAAATAGCTTTCTCTGTACATATAATGGTATATCTTATTTTGATATATAGCTCATCTGTCTATTATATAAATTTAAACGACATTGTATTAACACGATCTGTAAGGACAGAAACTATTTAATTGGAAAAACTTGGTACCATGTCAAATCGGCTCACAGGTTCACTAAGGTAGGCACACCATGTAAATCCTGGTGGATACCCTAGAAAAATCATGTTGAGAGATAGATTAATATATGTTAATAATAACAAGGATGCAAATGTAATGGATACCCTGACTTATGGCTCATAATAGCACCTCCTTTACATCTTCAAAAAAAAATCACCATATATAATAAATTCATGTGTGTCAGTACAAATTTATAAAAAATGTATTAGTGAAACAACAAAAACGTTAGTTTATGTATAAATATTATGTATAAATGGCATACTTAGATTTCATTTTCTTGACAATAAAAAAGATATATAAGTTTAAATTAAATACAATCGTAGTATAATATTCAACAAGATAAAATGTTATTTATTTTAAATAAAATCAATTATTTTATATGTTAGTAGAATTTGTTAGCTATGCTTAATACTCGAAAAAAAAAAAAAAGAAAATAAAGAGATTTGTATGAAGAAGAATTCCGAAAATACTACAATAGAATAATGCAACGTAAAAGGCAAACAGGATTGTAATTTAAAAAATGTTTTCTCTTTTATTATTTTGAAGTGTTATTAAATGCACAAACTTCCAAATAACCATGCATGCGAAAGTAATTGGCCATAAAATTAATATGGTAATAATAGTGATAGTTTCCTCTTGTTAAAACACACGACATATAAGAACCTCTTACCAAATTAGATATTGTACAAGAAAAAATATTCATCTATTCAAAGTGCATCTAAATTTAGTTTCAATTTTTGCTTTGATATGTTAAGTGCTTTCAAACTTAATAACTAATTTAATTGTGCTAGAAGCTAATATATTTTTTACGTTTTATTAAATGTATTGAAATTATTTTCACTAAAATATGAGTAAAACTTGCATGATGTAATACTTACATAATATTAGAAATTATTATTACGTGCTGATGATATGCGGATGAGGTAATATATTGAGATTCATCATCTTCCGTCCGGCTGCATGCAAGGAATCCCTCAAGATTAGTATGTTAGTTACATATTAATATATACTACACGAAAATTAATAGCTCCGAGACTATAAAATTAAAAAGATCAACGTTCAATCGTTGTTTTATAGTTTTACATAAAAGTACACGACATTGGTAAAGAATAGACATATGTATATATTTTTATTCCACAACATTTTTAACAATCATATAAAAGTGCTTTACAGTTTGTATATAGGGATATCGGCGGTTCTGTACAATTACAATTTTGTGGTGGATTCTGTAATAAGTACTACATAAACACCATATAAAAGTATATTACATCTTCTTAATTACGACTTATATCTATGCAGATTTAGGACGGATTAGAACAAATATGCAAATTTGATATCATGTATATGATATACCTAGTATATAAAATCGCGCATGCGATAATGATGCTTACAATGTATTGATAATTTGTGCAGCAATCATTGTGCAGTATTTATAATATGTATAAAATTGAAAGTAAATCATCTCGTAACGTTGACTATTATCATTGAATAATAATTTCATCATAATTAACTGCTCTTTATAATTGTACATGTACGATTGCATCAAAAAAAAAAAAAACAATTGTGTATAATGTTTAATCTAAAAAATTAATATTTTTAAAAACATTAACATCAAATAATTATTAGATTTATTGTCTTGTCAGAGGGATTTCATTATTCTTATAATCAAACAATACACATTTCATATTGTTGATTCTACTTAAATATTAATCTATATATGTGCACGATATACCCTGTCTTTAGTACAAATCTCATACTATTAAAAAAATTATAGTGTCTTTCTTCAAACTTATGGCAAATGTAATAAAAAAGGCTCGAAAATATAATAATAAAAGTTCTCTTTTAACCTGGAAGTAGAACTGAGATAAACGCGACGATAGTACATCAAGTACGATAGTGCCATTCGGTATTTTAGTCCTTATCAGTACTATTACTTCTTACAAAAGTCCCAATCTTAAATAATGACAAAATCTTTAATTAAATTATATTAGTCACAAATAAACAAGACGCAAGTTGTGTGTACCTTAGAAAAGAAGAGTAATAACGTTATATAGGCTCTAACATTTTTTAATTGATAACAACCTTTAAAATGGTGAACAATTTTGTTTACTTTAATTAATATCTTATAATGCATGTTTTGTTCAATGAGTCTGAACTCTACGCAATTTAAGATTTCTGAAAAGTATAATCGAGACGTTTTTTCTTTATTTTTAGCACTTTTCAAATCTATGTTTTCGAAGCTATAAAACAACATATATTATCATATAATGTATATGATATGATGTATATAATGATATACATGTGTAATTTAATATGTTACTTAATGACAATGTCAAGCATAACTGCTAATTATGGACGAAAATTTTTTTAAATTCGCGATATGGATATCTACGAATATTATAAAAGTTAAAAAAGTTTTCCGAAGATTGTAGTGCAAATAAAAGCAAAGCTACACATAAATGACGTGATATGTGAATATATGTGTGTGTGTGTGTGTGTGTGTGTGTGTGTGTGTGTGTGTGTGTGTGTGTGTGTGTGTGTGTATACATACAAAAAGTATAAGAAAACACAGATAAAAAATATTAAATAACAAATATACTATAAGAAACATTTTTTGTGATATATTAATATCTGAATGCATTAATTTTTCAATAAATGATCAGTACATGGAATGTGACATAATAAGATATGCAATCTCAATTTATGATCATTAGAAGTCATGAATAAATTTTATTCGATTAGAAACGTGTATATATTATTAATAAAAATATATCATGTGTTCATTTTGTATTTTTATGGTACGACAATTTTCGATGCATATATAAATTTTTCATCATTATATAATTGCATTCCATTACTGCTATACATATAATAATAAAAAATACGATTTAAAAAAGTATTAAAAGAATAAGGGTCAACTGTTCCATCTTTCGGTAAAGTTTACCTGTTAGGTAAATCTGGCAATCCACGCACGTGATTGGGTAGTCTTGCTACTTACCTAACAGGTAAACTTTACCAAAAGATGGAACAATCGGCCCTAAATGGATTATCCTGCAATATCTACTATATCAATAATGTAATCATTTATTATATTGCGCTTATAATCTACCTAACATTGTAATTTAAAAAAATTGATTGTTTTGAATAGGTCATTTCATAACAACTTGACTATACAACATTAAATCGATTGAAGTGTCAGAAACACATCAGCATAATTTCTCTCAAGATTTTTATTGTAAGATTTTAAAGTGCCTTTTTTAAAAGTGATATCAGTCTCCATTGGCAGTCATCTAGTGAAGTCTGGCATTAGAAAGAATTTACGTAACGTCAACTTGCCTCTCGGCTTGTGTTTGAGATGGTCCTCAATGAATTGACAAGGGCAACGGGCGGAGACACAATGGCGCGGTGGAACAGACAGACCCATAACACCTCTATCACGTTCCTGCGAGTCTATAACCAGATCAAGTCTGCGACGCACGAAGTGACGTGCCCATCGAGACGCATATCTCAGCAACAGCAACTCCGCCCGTTCCTGTCAACACACACCATCATCATTCAGTAGAACTCTTTACTTCACGCAAAATAATGTGTGATTTTTCTTCCACCTTTTAATTTTCCATCAAAAAACTCAAATTATTGTTTCATGTTAGATACAAATTTTATAAATAAAATAATATAAAAATAGAACTCTCGAGAATGTCAAATTACAAATAAAAACGGGCTAATGAGAGTCAAACAGCGGTACTTGGTGTGCAAATTAATGATTAATATTTTGTTAAAATAATACTTATAATAATATTTCAGACGTTTCGGCTTCGCTCTGAGCCATCTTCAGTGATCTGACCAATATAATATTAAAACTAGTTATCTTCTATGACTGGACCAGAGAGTGGTAGTTCCTTCATCCTCATTCAAACAGTATAGTCATGAAGTAAAAGATTCGTTCTTTGTTGAACGTCTGAAGAGAACTCGAACCAAGAGTCGAAACGTGTCACGGCATATATACTGAGCGATTTTCTTATATTATATTAACTGATATTTTAATATTACATATCAAAAGCGGCTAAGCTCTTTTATTCTCTTTTAGTAGTTTGATGTATATACATATTTAAATTCATATTATATTCTTAATGTTACAATCGCTTTCTTGTTTAATTACGAATTGACTCTTATTGTCCTTCATCTTGTTAATTATTATTTTTATATGAAGAGTCCTTTATTTTTAATTATAAAATATTAATCATTAATTCGCACCAAGTATCGCTGTTTGACTCTCATTAGCCCGTTTTTATTTGTAATTTGACATATTTTATGTTAAAATACAATCTTGCAAGTATCAATGTTATATATTTCTATTATTCATATATGTATAACTGTTGAAAACTGATATTATAAGTAATATTCTTTATAATATAATATAATACAATTCGTAAACATATCATCATGTGTATGCTAATTATGTCTCTGACTGACTATTATACTTGATAATGACTTTCTATCATAAAAGTGTTTTCACCGTTATTACAAATTATTCATTATAAATTAAAGATTATTTGCTCACCATTTTACAGGTATATATTTGTGTTATATATAAATATTACACACACACATTTTATATTTATATATATATATATATCAAGATCAAGATGGTCGAATATAATTGGAGTACTATCAAAAAATTATTAGTAAAAAGAGGAGAATACTGATATAGCATTTACCAAAATAAATAGGAAAGCTTGATAAAAGTTAGCCCTAAAAATTTGTGCACTATTTGTTTCTTAAAAGAAACAATTTGCTGGAATGCTGAATAGATTGAAATAAAATAAAAATTATATCCATCATTATTTATCTCTATAGATTATGTTAACAATAAGCCACAGATCTATTGTCAATTTTAACGTTAAATGTGATGATCTTCAGGATTGAATATAATCTTTATCTTATGAGTAAAATATATGAATACCACATTTAGCGTTAAATGGAATGTAAATGAGTTTTGATCTGAAAACGAAAAATTCTATATAACCCGTTCTATTCTATATAACTCTCTAATTATTAATTTCAATATCTCTCTTTAAGCCGGATTGCTACTTATCATGTAAGTTGTCCATAATACCTTAATATTTTTAAATAAAATGTTAAGTACATTCAAAAAAAAATATTTTAAAATTAAATGTATATAAATGACATAAAATCAGTAAACATAATTCTAAAAATAATACAACAAAGTAACTACATCACTATGCTTGTAAGCATATCAAAAGTTAGTTTCAACAAAATTTAAAAAAAGAAAGTTCTTTTAAAATTTGTTTATATACAACAAATGTTTGATATTTAAATCAAAAGTTGCGTCCATATATTGTGCGTTCAGCAGTTTCTATATAAAAAGATGGCCACTTTTACAAATGTATGTTAAATATAACTCTTAAACAAAGAATTGTGGGAAAAATTATTATATAAAATTTCTGCAATTTTTGTGCACGACCAATTGTGAAACAGCATGTGTATCTTTTCATAAGCAGCATGGAATATAATCATATTTCTCAAATGCCTCTGTCTCTGAGAAAGCTACTCCACCTAGGACAAAAGTCTCTGCCTTGAACACGTGGCTTATTACGTAACCATTCCTCTATATATTGACAAGGACACAGAGCGGATGCTAAATGACGTGGCGAAGAAGGATTTCCACCCTCCTCGTCAACTGTCCAATCCAAACGTCGACGTAAGTAATCCTTCGCCCAACGTTGCACATAACGGCAGAATACTTGTTCGTTTTTACCCTGGTAGTTTAATATAATGCACAACAAAATATTTAATATAACTTATTGAAGTCAGTAACATCGCATTTCGCATAAACCGAATTTATATAGCAACTAAGGCTTGTATGTTGAAGAGCTAAAGATGCTCCAATGTCACATATGAAAATTTTCATCTACGGTCTGTACCTATAATTCAAACTGTACTTTTTTGAAAAAGATTAATGTAGAAAGTAAAACTAAAAAGAATGGATGAATATTATTTACTTAGAATTTTATTCATTACACCTTTACAAAAATAACCAAGAAGGGGACTTGGTTTACAGTAATAACTTAACCATCCACATCCATCCATATCTTGCATACACTCCTGTGCTACGTTTTTATCTTATTTTTACATTTTTTATCTACTAAAAAGAATGAATGTAAAACTGAACTTTTTATCTTATTTCACGTATTGTCGATTTACAAATAAAGAAATAGTACTTTTATTTTTAGCTTCTCAACATTTAGCCTAATTAATACAATACTAAGAACGTCAATGTAAAATTAAGAAAATTTGAATTATAAAAAAAAATTTTTGAAAAAAAATAAAATTGAAAGAACTTTAAGAACATAGAGAAATATAAAAAGTAAATCTAAAAGATTAAACTTAAGAGATTGGGCATTTACCTGTTTACGAGAGATTCTTGTAGTGGTGCTGCCTTGTATAACAATGTCACTGTCGTCAATATCCATACGCTGTTGTAATTCTCGTTGCCGATTTATATCGTTTGCATCATCGCCAATTATTCTGCCTTCACGTTCTTCCCGTTCTATTACTTCCTGTAGCTTTTTCTGCCACAAAATAAACCATTATATTAATTAGATAATGTAAATATTTTGAAAAATGTATAATAAAGAGATAGCGTTTATAGTGTTACACGAATATTTATCTAAAAAAAGAGAGCATTCTCTTATATCATTTTATATTACTTTAAAAAACAAATAATTAAATTTTATTTGAATAAAAGCTTCACTTACAATGCAATCCGTTGTATCAAAGTATATGAAACATAGATTAACTTTGTGGCAGGAGATCTTTCCTCTATCATCTAATCCCAATAATATTTTATGTCTTAATAAATGTTTGTTAACTTGAGCCATACATTTCTCAAGGTTGTGATTGAGCTTTATTTTGATAAACATGCAGAAGAATATTGCAGCTGCGTTCAAGATTAACCACATAACACCCAATCCGAATAAAGTGAGGCCAGTCACGCCGGAGAATAATAAACCAAGCAGTACAACAAAGGCGGTGAATATCCAAAGGACGAGAATCCTTTTATAGCATATGTTATACATATTGAAGCGTACATCGTTCACAAGTAATTCCATTATGTGAACATAATCTTCCACTGTAAGCTGCAATGTATCTATTTTATTAAACTGCTGATCATTTAATTTCTTTAGAGTGCATAAAAAAAGTGTGAGCTTGTATTTCTCTTAATTATTTTAATACTTTAAATCACATCTTATATTTTAATCATATACTGAAAATTTTGTATTTTATTAAAAGTAAAATAAAAATTTTAAAAATAAAATCACGATATATATAATATTAGAATAACACGAATAAATTGCCATGCTCAATGCTAAAACAGTCGTTTGTCAAGAAAAATTTTGAATTCGTTTTCTAGAAATACCATACCAGTATGTACATATAACATTAGAAATTACAAGTGGGAAGAGATTCCATTATGACAAAACTCTAACATAAAATTAATCTCAAGATAACAAGTCGCGATACTATCTCTTGGAGAACAGAAAACGTCCAAAAATGATAAGTAGATTTTACTCTAAAAACAAAATTCAATACTTCAAGAAGGTACTTCAAGAAGCTTACAACTTTTTTCGTAAAAGTTACAGCTACAACGAAATTAAGAGGTCAAAGCTCGATTCACGCTGTCGAGAAAGAGAAAAAGATATAAATTACACGTACGGTTAATCCTTGTGCCATCAATTCTTCCGGCACTAATTCCGGTCTGAATCTGGCCGGAGTAATCCAGGGCCACTTCGTATTTACTGGCAGAAGAGTAACTATAGTATCGCCATTGGCAAAACCCTGCCTGATGTTTCCAATCGACGTGTTGATAACGTTACTCGGTGCATTTCTTCCATTGGACACGTCCCTCAGATCAATGGTCTTCAAAGAAGCGCTCTTGACTTCTGACGCTCGAACGTCAGATGGTAATTTAAGATCCGGAGTCTCGGACGTGATAGAACGACTTAAACCTGATCTATCTAAGTTAATCTGGACGGATTCGGTTGCTATCACAGCACCTCTATACTCATTGGTTTCCTTACTATTAATATCAGGTGGGTCAATACTTTTACCGATTTTGTCGACCTGTACGGTAACCGACTCGGGCTTTATTACGGCGGGTACGCTACTGTTGTCGGCTTTTCTTTTGACATCGGTAGCTTCTTTCGAATCTGTCTCCTCCTCAAATTGGACCCAATTCGTTTGGGCAGCTACGCCAAAGGAATCAGCTGCCGCCGCATTATCAGTTGTGTCAGCTGTATCTCCGGAACTCATGACTAAAAAAAAAAAGTAATACACATATCTTCTAAGACGTTTAGAGGTATTTCAGAGATATCAAAAAATTGGTTATCATAGATAAATAAATTTTGAAGATATTTGAAAAATATAAAATTAATATTAAAAACAAATGTGTATATATACAAATATTAGCGCGATTTGAAATGATATAGTCTCATAAAGACTGTCGTTTCGTACTCTAATTTTCGACCTTGTTAACTCATTAGCGATGCGTTTAATCGGTACTCGTCGGCGCTCGTCGGCACGTAGGTACGGCTCCGCCGATTTCGCTCGGCCAAAAGGGAGTGTCCCCGGATATGGAATCCCAAGACGCGAGGCTGTCTCTCACGTGGATATCGACGAGAGATCCCGATCGGAACGATCGTCCTCGAACTAGCGCGATACTCGTGTGGAGAGCGGAAATCCCTGTCGGGTGCATCAGGTTTCGCGTGATGGACCCTCTGGAGTGTCCTAAACGGGACGGGACGAGATTTCGCGCGCGCTGGACACCGTCCGCGATGGGGAAAGGGCGAAAAAGACGTAGGAAAATCGTGCGAACCGAGAAGATAAGAAACGTGGAATCGCGAGCAACACCACCAACGACACGCCAGAAAAGAAAAACATACCTGAGGTGATGCGGCCTGTCTCATGCCCGCACGAGCCAAAGAGGTGCGCGACGAATCACGAAATCAAGGTGTAAGGGGGAACCGTCGATGGTCGTGGCGATGGTGGGAGTCGCAGGGAGGTGTGAGGAGGTAGGCGCGACGCGAAACGTAGGCGCATGTATGTGCGTGCGCTATGCGTGCACGGGGTGTTGTACAGTGTCGTACACCTGCATGCGTGCGACCACGCGCGCGTGCATACCTGTAGCGCGAACGTCCCCGTCACGTTCGTGCAACGCGAACCGTGTGCGAGCGGCTCGCTCGTTAATTAAATCTCTTTCGCGAATTTAAATGATCGCGAATCGATTTGACATATAATTCAGAAAGGGGAGCTTCGAATCCACCTGTTTTTATTATCTCGCACATACTTGTGTGCGGCAGTTATTTGCATTCTGATTACACTCAATTACACTTGTGACGTTATATATATCTCGTCGGAGTTACATCACACGTAACAGGATTATTTACATCTGATTATGCACGGTCTAATGCGCCTTGAAACGGAAGATATATATACCTGTACGAATTTTTATTCTTATATATATATAGGATTATATTTGACAGATATACTATATATATTCTAAAATATAATAATAAATAAAAGTACAAAAAGCTATAATGTAGTGATCGAAGTCAGTTAATCTAATTTTGTTATCTACAGTTTTGCTAATTTCTCAATTAGTCATTGAAATTACAATTTAATTGGAATTGAGGCCAATTGAGGTAGAAAGCCAAGATCGAAGTCATCCGCACATAAAAATGGCGCGAGTATTTATCGATGATAAAGTAAGGATCAATGTTGATATGTAATATATTATTTCCTAAAATATTTTTTAAAGCACGCAAAGCTAGTGAATAATCGCATCAATAGTCGCTTTCCATTTTTACACAAGTGATACCGAAATAAAGTCTAGTATACGAGTATTTTGTAGTTTTATAGATAATGACGTCATTTATACTTACCTACTTTGGTGATAAGGTTTATTTTTTATTTCTCTGAACAATAAATATACGTTCGTTTCGCTTTAACTTATTGCACCAGTTCAGAGATGAATGTATAGAAATAAAAAAACAGACCTAAATAAGTTATCGCACGGGTTATATAACCTCACTTTTAATGTGTGTTAACAAGACTCAATAAAGAACACGGTCTCGAGCTTATGCAGGTTATAGATAAAAGCGTAATTGCATCTCACTTAATTGTCAGAATGCAAAACGTCTTGTAATAGCTCTATCAACATTATTTTAATTAAAATTAATTTTATTAATTCAATATAACACTATTGATGAAACAAATATCTACATATATCATGCTCTTGTTTTAATGAAATTTTATTTGATTTTCACACATTAACACCATGGTGGAAGTATACCACCATGATACTTCCACCTACTTCCACCATGATTAACACTATTATTAATTTAATAAGATTATTTTGAATTAAAATAATGCCAATAATTGAAAAATTAACTGTTGGCATTATTTATTTATAATTTTGGTTTCTATGCAGAAATGTTTTTCTCTTACGATTTTATTTCCATCTGTTTTTTTGCTAACCTTATACTGATTTGACCCAATGATAGACTTTTGTATGATCAAATATCGTATCAACATCGGCGTTTGAGACAAAATAACTTGACGGCGGTTAATTCGTCGACAAATTTCATTTTTAACGACAACGGCATAACGGCGAGTAAAAATTTCTTGGCGTATATTATTCTTGATTGACCAATTAGAAGAAAGAGTTTCACTAATTGACCAATCAAAAATGTTTCGAAATTTTGTATCATTCTAATAACTTTTTCGGCTCACTGGATTTGCATTTTGCACCGACTTGGATTGGAAAATGCTTTTTGCTATTGGTTGGCGTTACACCTGCTCGCCTGCTCGGGCCGAAAACTAACGACATATAGACGGAGCCTTTCTACGAGAAGTAGGCGATAATCGCAGCGAGAGAGTGTTTTTTGACTTCAACTAGTTTTGTTTTGTCGTAACTCGAATATGTCGGCTCTCACATAACTACCCACGTGACTGTCATGGACGTAAACAGACCAAAATGTCTATGGTGGGATGGCTCCCGTCTTGCCCCGATTATCACACCATCCCTTGTCCGAAATAGCAGCTCATGCTCCGTCGTGTCATTGGTTGCCGAAAACGCCAAGAAAGGAGCAGAACGAACAGAACAAAGTGTCGGAAAGTGCACTTGCTGCTATGGTGGCTGGTAATCAGCTGTTGCTGCATTCCGATGTGTTGACAGTTCACCTGCTTGTCAAAATGTACCGTATAAATTCGGTATCGCACGTGTCGAGATACGTCCTGTCAAATATTAATTTTATTCGTTCGACATTGAACGCTCGACGTAATGTACATGTGTATAAGAATGTTTTTGTGAAGCTCCCGCGATTTACCGCTAGGATAGAAAAATATCAATTCAACGGTAGTCACAATTCGCAGAAGAGAAAATGCAGAATGCTCCTCGCTGTGTCGTTGCCTACATTAATTGTTAATTATCTTCTTGGTATCGAGGGTACTGACGAAGAAGTCCCGGAAGTCATTATGACGATCAAACGATCCGTATTATTGATACAGGTAGAGATACACACACATTATATTGAGATTATTATATATGTTAATATTTATGTAAGAATGAATATTTTAAATACATATAAATATTACGGGTAATATTCATATATCTATATATATATGGATATTTTTTACAAATGTTAAATAATAAAATGATATTATCTTCATTTGAATCTCATACAGTTTCAGCAATATTTGCTTTCCCTTTATAGAAGAGAGAACATGATAAGGCAGAGCAAATGCTACACTTAGCGTTACGTCAAGCACAAACTATACAGCATTATGATGCTGTTACATATATCTACGACGTAATGGCTAATCTTGCTTTTGACACTGGGAAATATAGCAAAGCAGAGAAATTATTTCTAGTAGTTTTGCAAAGACTGATGTCAAATGGAGCTACAGAAGATGATATGCGAGTCATTCATATAAGCCTGAAAATAGCCAAAGTATTTGAACATCTTGATGAGCCAAAGTAAGCAATATAATTTGTTATAATTTTACTATGTTTTTTATAAAACATAATATGAAATAAAAAATTTATATTTTCTTAAAGATTACATATAGAAAGTAGAAATTAAAAATTTTAATGATTGTAACCTTCATACTCTTTCTAATTTCTCCTTTTTGTTATTAGTACATTATAGTATATTATATATAAGATATATATATTTTTTATTTCACACAGGAAAGCAGACCAGGGCTATAAATTTTGTATGGAACATTTAAAATTGCATGTTCAAAAAGATCCTGATAATGAAGACGCTGTGTTGCTACAGGGTATAACTTTTGATTGGTACGCAAGAATGTTACTTTCACAATCTCAATATGCCGAAGCTATGAACTATCTTCTTCAAGCTTATGAAATATGTAAAAAAACGAAAGGTGAAACACATGAACAAACTGTTGTTTTACTTAATGATTTGGGAACAATTTGTTGTATACGAGAAGAATATGATGAAGCTATTACATATTTATCTGCTGCAGCAAAAATAGGTAATAGTTATTAATGAGTATCAATGTAATTATGACTTTTATAGTTAGTAATTTCATATAATATACTACTTAATATTTTTAGGGAAAAACTTACCTGACATGGTTGACTTAGGTTCAATTCATGTGAATTTAGGAAGTGTGCTTCTAAAAAAAGGTTTATACAATGAAGCCAAAGAATGTTGTCAACAAGGGAAAAAAATAGCTGAAAGTAGAGACGATAATGACTCTTTATTAAAAGCAGATGAATGCCTCAAGGAAGTAAAGAGATTACTGTCATTGTAAATTCTTATGATTATCTTAGACAATGTAGTTGTTAAAAATATGTAAATTTAGAGAATTAGTATTGTAAATATATATGTATGTAGAAAAATATTTAAAGAATTTTAATGATTATTTAATGTATGAATACGGAAATACAATTTTTTAAATAAAATAAGCTATTTATTATTTGGTACTCAACAGACTAATCATTAATATAAAAAAACATATGTTTTACTTCTGGAATATATGATGTAATATTATATATTTTCACAGGGAATGGAAGTAACTCGTTACTTGTAACGAAGTTACAGTTACAAGTTACTTTTTTGGTAACTTTACTGGTAACTGCGTTACTTTCTTTTTTTGGTAACTGTAACGGTAACGAGTTACATTTTTTGGGTAACGGTAACGAAATTTACAGTTACTTTTGTCGTTACTTTACACACGATTGAACACGGTTCGATTGGATACATGCTATTTATAGCGCTTATCAATAAGACTTGAAAGCCCTTAGACATTCGGCCGTTATGATTCAGTAATTATTTTACACTTCTATCTTCTATGTAATACATAGGACATACAAATATTTCAGTTTGCTGCATATTTTACAGGTTTTAGAATTACAAAATTGTGTTTAAAAAAAATTAAAAAATAAATTAAATAATAGTAAAATGAGAAGGGCTATGAACCCAAAAGCGAAACAGTTTAAAAGACGATGACAATAAGTGTCGAAACGTCGTTTGTTTTTATCTTGTTTTATCTATGTATTGTTCTAATATATATTTATACATTTAATTACATTGTCATCGTCGTTCATATCGGAAATAAACTGTTTCATTTTTGGATTTTAAAAAAGTAACGGAAAAGTAACGAAAAGTTATTTTTCAAGTAACGGTAACTGTAACGAGTTACTTTTAAAAAGCGATAACTGTAACTGTAACTAGTTACATTTTTTACTCGGTAACGATCGAGTAACTGTAACTAGTTACTTTTAAAAAGTAACTTTCCATTCCCTGTATTTTCATATACTAGCACATTCCTTGCGCGCGCTACGCGCGCGATGGTTTATTATACTCTTTTTAAATATTATGAATTATGTTTTTTTGAAACTTGTTTTGAAATCAACAACTCTAATTCTTACTAATACAAAATTTCCCTGAAATTTGAAAACCTTTAGAATTTCATTTTCGGTCGCCACATCAATTCTACCATTTTGATAAACAATATTTAGTTTATTTTTTTATTCACCGTTTATGTCGAAAAATTCGACCCACAGTGTAGTTGTGCTGGTTCGCGTACAAGAGTAAAATACATTAAAGCAATTAATTGACGGGATCATTTTGATCTCAAAATGTTTGTAGAATTATTTGCTCTAAGAATGTTCACAATCCGAATTTTTTGCTCATCGTTTACGTCGAAAAATTCGACCCGCAGTGTGGCTGTGCTGACTCGCGTACAAGAGTAAAGTACATTAAAGCAATCAATTGCCGGGATCATTTTGGTATCAAAATGTTTCTAGAATTATTTGCTCTAAGAATATCCAGAATCCGATATTTTGCTCATCGTTTACGTCGAAAAATTCGACCCACAGTGTGGCTGTGCTGATGACTCGCGTACAAGAGTAAAGTACATTAAAGCAATCAATTGCCGGGATCATTTTGGTCTCAAAATATTTCTAGAATTATTTGCTCTAAGAATATCCAGAATCCGATATAATAACCGATATAATAATAACGTAGAGTATGTATTGTAAGGAACCGACTCCCACTCATTCTAGTTCTACTAGAGTAAAGTCAATATATATCTATATATTTCTTTTCTAGTGACTTTATACTAGAGAGTCTCATCTGGTCTCATCGAGCCGCTCACGCCGCGCAGACTCTGCAATGTAGTTGGTCGAGATTATCGGGTGCTTTCCAGCTACGACACAAGGTAAAGTTGTTGGAAGACCACAGCACATGTTAATGCGAGTTGCTGTAGCTATTCATGGTGAAGACATTAATAAGGCTATTGAAACATACAATTTTATGTCAAAACAATATTTCATACATGCTGAACAGACGATAGATACAGCATGTACTGTTACACAACAAATAGCTAGGTGATTATCTTCAAGAACAAATAGATTCATTAAACATTGTATTAATGTATTATTAAATAAATGATATTTTTACAGCACACACACAACACATATATATATTTTTATTGACAATGTCTGGTGATAGCATAGATGGAATATTGGATACATTAGAAAGGTTTGCTGTTCTTTGTCATCATAATGGTGAAGTAGGATTCAATGTACATTGCATTCGAGCAAAGAATACACCTATTAGAGACACAGGAGGTGTGTCAAATGGATTAGTGCCTATGTTAAAAGCATGTAATACATCTATTGCAACGGTCTCAAAAAATAGTAAAAATGAAGGACCAATTACTGTATATTTAGAACCATGGCATTCCGATATTTTTGAGTTTTTGAACCTTAAAAGGAGTATTGGTTATTATTTTTTATTAATAATTTCTTGTCATATTTGTTTTGATAAATAACTATATATAAATATATTTTTGAACAACTTTATTACAACTTTATTACAGGTGAAGAGCAATTAAGGGCAAAAGGTAGTATATGTTATGGACTCCACATTTATTTATGAAACATGTTTTTGATGATGATGTATGGAGCCTAATGTAGATAACAGACACCAGATATCTGTGTTACCTTGGTGTAGCACTGTGACAGTACATGATCCAGAGCTACCGGCTGTCTCTGCATAAGTATCTCCCACGACTCTTTCATCAATAAAATTTCACTTAAAACTATCAATACTGCTATGAGCATAGAGCATATTGGATCGGCGAACATCCAGCTGAATATTTGCATCAGTACCTCCGATATGATAATTCCCACAGAACCCAGAGTGTCAACAAGTATGTGCAGGCATATAACTTCATGATTTGCGAGTTCGTACCACTGAAGGACATTTCCATCTCAACATGGTCATAATTATGATTTTGAGAATGAGAGTGACCATCGCTAGGACTATGATCATGATTATGACTATGTCCATGGCCATGTCCATATTTAAATGCACATATCCCTACTAAATTCACTATCAGTCTCAACATAGAGACAACAAAGAGCCTTTTATGTTTAATCTCTGGTGGCTCAATGGCTCGTTCCACTGTTTCTAACATAATAAACAAGGCTATAAACAATAGAAGCAATCCATTCACAAAGCCGTACAACACTTCGGTTCTAACATATCCATATCTGAATATCTGTCGTTTGGTCTCCACTTGTTGATGACAGATGCCGTCAAACCAAACAAGACTCCAGTGCAGTCGAAGAACATGTGGGTACAGTCGGAGATAAGACCGAGACGGTTGGTCCATATTCCATACAACAGCTTGACGAAGGCAAAGAATAGTTTCAATCAGGAAATAAGTTACGGGTCGTGTTCGCATCAGAGAAGATGAGATGTTTCCAACTCAGCAGCTTCTCCTGTATTCTACTTCGGAAGTTGGAACGTAAATTACGTGGATTTTGAGAAAGCATCTTTTGGAATTATACTGATTCTACAGGCCTGAATCTGTCCTAAGGAAAAAAATTTAGTGTTATAACAAGATGGATCAGTCCCCGCTCTCAATATTTGTTTATAACTTTACAATAAAGCATTTCTAATTAAACTTCATATAAAATCTTTTTATTTTCACAACCGACTGCTACCAACCGAAGGTTGGCACAAAAAGGAGGGAGTATGTGTTTCATTACTTATACAATATGCTCACAATTTGTCTGTTAAATCTTAAAATATCCTGTATGTATGTATATATATGTGTACACACACACAGGTGGTTCGATAAGTCAAATCTTTGTGAAATAGTGCCATAATCCATTTAATGATGTAACATTTGGAAAGTATCACTCTTCAAACTCTTCTGTGACAAAATTCAGCCAGAATTGATGCATTGTTCAGGTTCAATCATTGTTTCAAACAAACAAGAAGTTTAGCAGTTGCCGCATATAAAAATGAAAAAAAATTTCATGCAAATTACAGAATTTAGCTTTAATGATTCTTTGTTCCAATCCAGGTAATATCATGAATAAGAAATTAATTCAAAGTCCAATTCTGTAATTTTGCATGGAATTCGTTTTTTTTTTTCATTTTTCAATGTGGCAATTGCTAAGCTTCTTACTCGCTTGAAACAATGATCGAACAATGTGCCAATTTTGGCTGAAATTTGGCACAGGATTTGAAGAGTGATACTTTGTAGATGTCACATCATTAAATTGTGGCACTATCTCATAAAGACTTACCAGACTTATCGAATCATTCACGTATATAAAATTCATCCTTCTGTATCTCTTACAATTTAGCATATTGTATCATCATTTAGAATAAATAATTTTTTGACTAAAAATTATCGATTTAAATAAAAACATTGCTATTAACCTAACCTCTGAAGCATAAAAATGTTAAAAAATCCTCAGTATTTGGTCGTTTGTGAGTTATTAATTCTGTGATTGTACCAGGTTTAGTTTTCTCTTTGTCTTTAATAGGTGTAGGTGATGTATTAAATACTGCGATCGCATCTTGCGCAAATTTTCTTTGTGCATGAACTTTGGTTCTGGAATAGATAATTGCAATTTAATACAATGGCAACCTCTCTCTTTAAAAATTAATACAAAATATATAGCATGATTAAGCGTATGTATATTTTTAAAAATATACTTTATTTACAGTTTGAGAAGTTATTATCATTAAAAATATATTACATGTTAATTTAGGAGTTACCTTTTCGGAGATTCCGAAAGTGGTACCATAAGATCTACCATAAGACCGAAACGGTTGGTCCATATTTCATACAACAGTTCGACGAAGGCAAAGGACAGGTTCAGAATTAGGAACAGAAATAAGTTACGGGTGTTCGCATCAGAGAAGATGAGACGTTTCCAACTCAGCAGCTTCTCCTGAATCCTATTTCGAAAGTTGGAACGCGAATCACGTGGACTGTGAGAAAGCATCTTGGAATCACACTGATCTTACAGGTCTGAATCTGTCCTAAGGAAAAAATTTAGTGTTATAACAAGATGGATCAAAAAGTGAATAAAAGTAAAATATCGGTATCAAAGTAAAATAAAGATATCAATGCAATATTTCGGTATTAAGTTTTAAAATAAAAATATCAAAGTAAGTAAAGTTTCTACATTAAAATGAAACAAAGATACTAAAGTAAAGCTTTAATATTAAAATAAAACAAAAATATCAAAATACAGCTTCAGTATTAAAAAAAAAAAAATAAAATAAAGACATCAAATAATAGTAAAGTTTGATATTAAGGGTCGACAGAGGAGTGACCCAGAGACCTCTAATCGAAGATGAATTTTTTATTCCCAAATTACGGCTAAAATACTGGATGGATCGCGTTTTAATTGTGATATTCATAATTAGGAAAGGCTCCTGAAGGCTCATACAGAGCTATTTTTTTGTAAAAAAGGCATAACAAAAATATTTCTGGTCTCCACGGGTCACTCCTGTCGACCCTTAATATAAAACAAAAAATCTCATCAAAATAAAGTTTCAGTATCAAAAAAGAATAAAACAAAGGCACTTTTACTAAAGTAAAACTCTATTAAAATAAAATAAAGATAGTCTAAGATAAAGCTATGAAATAAGCATTAAAATAATACAAAGACAAAATAAAAGCTTCGCTAAAGTAAAGACATTCTAAATCATACCTTTTCTCTCAAAAATTATATTTATACTTTCACAACCTAAACAGCAAAACAATCGTCTATATTTTCAAACTTGTACAGCTGCGTATGTACATCTGCTCTTAATTCAAATATTTACCATGATATAAATACAAGGGTACGCTTTCCGGTGGTAGACCACTGCGCAGGAATTGGAGTGGTGGGGTAGTCTACATGTTGATATCAACCTCGGCTGTTTCCGGAGCGGTAGTTCCATGTAGTTTCGGCTCCTTGATATATGTTTACATAATAATTATTTGGAGAAACATTCTTAAAGGCTTTTGCCATAGATAATACAATTGCCATTTTGATGCATTATAGACTGTATTTACAATTTTCTTTGCAAAATATTTTGACAATAAAGAATATCAATCTGATAGCATCAATATATACTTACAGTTGTTTATCTTTGTTTTAAAAAAAATTAATTTTTTTAGAAATTTTGTAGTTTATATGAATTTTTAAATCATATATATATCATATATATCTTATTGTAAACTCAAAAATTAAATTAAGCTATATTAACAGATACAAAACTGTTTATGTCATTCGCATATACATCACATTATGCAGAAAAAATATATTTAGGCTCTATTAGAAAACAAAAAGATTTAATTATAAAAAAATCATGAGAAAATAGATTTATTATATAATGAGCTATAAATTAAACTAATTTTTATTTAAATTTATGCGCACAACATACATTTAAGCGCGCGCTATTATTCAAGTTATATTTTTATCTATAATTTTAAAAAAGTACTCATTATTTAATACAAATATTTGACTAAATATTTTCAAATAGTCTTTATTTCAGGCACTCTAAGTATGAAAATAAGCAAATTATTATAAGTACTTCCTCTGAAGACATTATTTTTTTGTGTAATAATCTTCATAAGAGATATATATTTCAAACTTATCTAGATAATAATTATTATAAACTTAAAATATAACAAATAATAGAATCTTATTTTACAACCGTACATTATTAAACAATAACAAGAAAGAAGGAAGCACAAAGCGAAGCCTATCGGTCAAAGCTAGATCAAGATGCTTATTATCATTAAGTGTGAATTTATATACCGCGTATGTAGTTCTGTCAATCGCGTGCCGAATATTTTTTCAGACTTACAACGCAACTCTAAATAACTACCGCGGTAATATCACTTTAGTTAGATTGACAATACAATCTAACAAATTTCGATGCTTATAGCATCTTATTAGATCTTAATAATATGTTGAAAGACATATATTAAAATTCAATATTAAAGTAATGATAATTAATAATCTTATTTTTCACAGATTTCAATTATCATTACTTTAATATTGAATTTTAATATATGTCTTTCAACATATTATTAAGATCTAATAAGATGCTATAAGCATGTCAATCTAACTAAAGTGATATTACCGCAGTAGTTATTTAGAGTTGCGTTGTAAGTCTGAAAAAATGTTCGGCACGCGATTGAGAGAACTACGTACGCGGTATATAAATTCACACATAATGATAATAAGCATCTTGATCTAGCTTTGACCGATAGGCTTCGTTTATTGTGCTTCCTTCTTTCTTGTTATTGTTTAAAATATAATTTATCAAATATGGTCAGTAAAACTGTAAAAAAAAGGGGCAACCGTTGGTGACCTTAACTTTGGCATCTGACTCTGCGTGACCTCCAATAGGTTTTCTGATAAGAATGGAGGAGGAAGTGGGAGAAAACTCCCTTTGTCTGGAAAGTCATGCGCCCCGCCTTGGCAGAGGAAACTCGTTTTGCGTTGAAGTCTGATACTTCTAGATAGGTCAAATGCAAAACAGTTTAATATTATATAAAGCAGAAATAATATTATATAGAACAAAAATAAGATATTTCTTAAATGTTTTCTGTTAATATTTTTTTAACGAATAATGATCGCTACCTAAAATTTA